TTGTTCTTTATTTCAATGTCTCTGGTTATATTTTGCTTGCTTGTTTGTTTTGTTGATTAGGGTTCACTTAAAGGTATTTGTCTTTCACTGCTTGGCTTATTTCACTTAGCATAATGCTCTCAGTTCCATCCATGCTGTCACAAAGGGTAGGGGCTCCTTCTTTCTTTCTGCTGCATAGTATTCCATTGTGTAAACGTACCACAGTTTTTTGGTCCACTCATTTACTGATGGGCACTTAGGTTGCTTCCAGCCCTTGGCTATTGTAAATTGTGCTACTCCAAACATTGGGGTGCATAGGTGTCTTTTGAACTGGTGTCTCAGGATTCTTAGGGTATAATCCTAACAGTGGAATTACTGGGTCAAAAGGCAGTTCCACTTTTAGTTTTTTGAGGAAATTCCATACTGTTTTCCACAGTGGCTGAACCAGTCTGCATTCCCACCAACAGTGCACTAGGGTTCCTTTTTCTTCACAACCTCGCCAACACTTGTTGTTTGTTGATTTGTTTATGATGGCCATTCTGACTAGTGTGAAGTAATATCTCATTGTGGTCTTAACTTGCATCTCTCTGATGGCTAGTGATGCTGAGCATCTTTTCATATGTCTCTGAGCCCTCACATAAGTTATTTATTCTGGTACCAAATCAAATGCAAGTATTACAGGTATTTTCTACCACTTAGTGGCTCTTTTTTCACTCTCTTTGAGGCAGCTTTTCAGAACAGGAATTCTTAATTTTATGTCCTATTTATCGATCTCTTCCTTTATAGGTAGTGCTTTTGGTGTCCTACTTAACTCATTTTTGTTTCCCCTCAGGCAACAAAGATACCCCCCCCCACTTCTATAGTGATAAATGTCAAAACAGTGGTTAGGGTTTTAGGGAAGTGATAATGAGGGGGAGGCAAGGACACTGGAAGGAAGGGAGGGTTCCAAGGCACTAATTATGTGCTATTTCTTAATCTTGGTGAGTAAAATGTGCTTGTTTTCTTTTTAAGTATTCATTGGACTATATACTTATTGCTTATAACACTGTGCATATGTTATATACTACTTTTAAAATTGTGAGAGAGAACAAGAATGCACAAACAGGAGCCACTAACTAGAGAAGTACAACATGATGACAAAAAAAGAAGTATTTTGAGAGATTAAAGGAATATTTGTAAACAGATCATTTAGTATCATAGATTATGAGTCTTGACAAGCCAACCTTTTAGTAAACATGTTTTTCAAAATACACTTAGTAAGTATAGTTTAAGACCAGAGCACTGATGTTTGTTAATAATATAATGCTGAAAACAAACAGAGCTGAGCATAAAATCCCTCAATATTAGTGAGGCATCACAGAAAAAGTTAAGCAAGCAGCCTAAAGAGAAGGAGCAGATTGCTCTAAATATTTGGTTTTACAAGTTCTTTATTAGGATGTTTCTTGCAGACATATGGGAAGTCTGATTCTGTTTCCTGCCCTTTGATGAGGAGCATGAGTAGTGAGGTCTGTATAAAATAAAGATGAATGAGTCTGAGGTGGTGAGAAGTTTTTGAGACAATAGCAGAGAGGTCACAAGAGTAAGACAAAGCGGTCCAGCAGAGTCACCATCCAAGGCAGAAACCCAATAACAGTACTAGGCAAGGATATAGTTAATATTAAACCATATCCCTGAACACAGCCAGCATGTGAAACTGAAGATGAGAGCTAACCCAACAGGAAGTATGGTCAAAGCAGGAAGGAAGGTCACTGTCAGGAGCCATCCCTTCCATAGGCAAGAATGCCAAGGGAGCACCAAAAGCAGCCAAGGGTGTGCCAAGGTCTTCAGCCTGGGGTTTGTTGGTTTGTTTGTCTGTTTTTAGTTAGGAAAAAGCTAACCAACAGCCTGTCCATGGCTAGCTGGTGGAGCGAGTGTGTCTGCATGGTTCTCCGCCCTCAGCTGAGCAGGTACACAAGCCTGACAGCTGGTTCTGACAGCCAGACACGGAGACTTGGAGACAGCATCTGAGAGGAACTCGCAGTGTGAATTCAGGCACTTCCTTAAGTATCTATCCTTGGATGCCTGCCTGTTCTGTGACCCCCTATTTCTTAACACCTGGCCTTGACCGGAGATTTCAAGGGAGCAAATGTAGACTTTTTTTTGGACAAAAGAGAAATCTTTTTCAAGATGAGGGCAGAGTGAACAAATAAATAGGGTTTGACAAAGGAAGTTAAAAAGACTAAGGCAATCAGGAAAAAAAAAAAAAACAACCTTGCAAACATGGGTAAAAAAAGCAACCTCAGAAACTCCTGGGTGGCATGGTGGGAAGGAGGGGAGAAAATTCATAATTAGCATAAGCCTTGGACAGATAACAGGGGATTCAAACCCAAGAAATTCAAGCCCAAGCATAAGAGTCTGCATTTCTCATCAGCTCATGTAACATCGTGTTTTTCGAGTACACCAGTTTTAATATCCAACAATCATCTTTTATAGTTCCAGTGCTATAATTTACCCCATCCAGGCATGCAAAAGCACCCTTTTTCTAACATTAAACATGTTTAATCAGGACAATTTATAATAGCACTTTAGGGATTTAATGAAAGAAAGGCATCCGACACATGATATTTACAGTAATCATAACACTACAAGATTTAAAGTATAATTTTTTACAGTGTTAGATCAGGAAGCCAAATTGTCCATGTTTCCAGTTAGTTATTTGCAATGCTTGGGGGATGGGGATAAGGGTCCAGAAATTAATTAACAGTTTTCCTCTGCACAGTTGTCAGTGTTATCACCGTGCACTGCTGCTGGCTGCCAACTCCTTTCTGCCCTGGCTCTAGTGGCAATCAGCAAATACAATTAGTGCTAAAGCACTTGTCCTAATAGCCAAATGCCCAGTGTCATAGCACATGCAGGATCATAATTATGCTTTAGGAAGAAGGTGGATTTGGCTTTGTTAACCAAGAATTAACCCAAAATCTGGAGGCCACTTGAGTTAGTGCTTATGGAAAATACCCATCACACCTCAGCCTCTGGGTACCAGAATTTTTCAAGGATAGCAATTTTATGCAAAGCTAGGAGCCTTGACATTCTTTTTCACAAGGATCTAAACATTTCCTTGTCAAACTCTGAAGATTCCCTCTGCTTTCTCTTCTGGAACTAGTCTAATTTATACACATTCCAGCTCCACTTGAGTAAAACTCAAGTTCCTGTTTAGGTATTTGCTGTTAACCACAAGCCTCATGCTTCATGGACCTTTTGACATGTGTTTATTCAAAAAGGTAAGTTGATAAAACAGGGCCTTCCTTGTATTTGACAAGTTCTACCTGACTCAGGGAAACAGAGTGGGGCCCACCTCCAACGGGCAGCAATACAGGGCACAGGGTAACAGGAAGAACGTTACCTGGATTACTGCCCACAGCTCCTTCAGTAATAAAACACAGCATCAAGGCACAGCAAGAGCTGACACTCTCAAGGGTTCAGATTTCCATCAAATTCAAATTGAAACCCAATCATGAACAATAAAATAAGAGGAATATTACAAAACCCATAAATTAAAACAAAAGCCCCCTTTTTAAATACAAGAGATGTAGAAAGTTTGGATTAACCCAGGCGCCCACCTCTAGCCAGTGCACAGGACCTATTCCAACATCACCCTGGCTGTATTGGTTCCTCTCCTTGGTTCTCCTTGTCCTGATTTATTCACTTAGTATCACAATTATAACTAAGGATAATTATTAATTCTAAATAAGCTTTATGTATTTCCTAAGCTACTTAAATCTTCTGTGGAACAAGATTGGATATTGTGCTTATCCAGGAGATGCTCTGAATCCTTCACTCAAAGCTTATTTGTATTTTCTATGTACAATCTTAATAAATTCAGCTATCTGATTTCACAGCACACAGCAACTTAGAAGACCTCATCTGACAAAAAGAGTGACTGTCTCTTCTTGATGTCACACAGCGTATTAAGCCTACTTAATAGATGGTGGTACAATAGTAAAAGAGGAAATTGGTAGGCAAGTGGTTCCTACAGCATAACAAGAACATAGAAACTGTTCAAAAACAAATCAAAGAAGCAAAAGCATAGCGGTTGGGACCCACTCAGCATGGGAGTGATCTGTCATGGATTTTAGAAGCCTTTGATGATTATAGAGCTATAGTCAATATGAGAAGTGTGACTCTTATTTCTCCAAGAAAAAAGTCAAAGTATGCATTGGACTCCTTATTTAAGAATATAACATATATACAGTATACTTCAGAAACCTTTTTGTCTGAAAATAGTTTTAAACATAAAACTTAAGGGAGGGTTAATTTTCAGCTATCTGGAAAATTCCCTTCTTTGCAACGCTTTATTCCCTGACCAAGATCAATACCTGGAGTGCTGAAGAACTCATACTGTGAGCTCTACTCAGGTGGGAACCACATCTCAGGAGAAGCAGTGTAGGCGGACAATGCTGCCGCTTTAGAGCTGGGCTCTGACTTGGTCAGTGGTGATGAGTGCAGAACCACAGCAGCCTACTGACATCCCAGAAGAGCGCCCATTACCGCTAGGAAGGAGGGAATTTACAGCAAGCAGCTAATAATTCACTTTTTTTCCCCCGCCAAGTGATTGACAATTAACACCCGTGGACTAAATGACTTACAAAGCGACCTGATGGCGGTGAGGGGCCCATGTGTACCAAATCTTGGTTTTTGCAACATTTCAAACAAAGGGAAGATAGTTCCTGGTAGTATGCCCAGGATTTTCTGGACAGAGGACATACGTGTTACTATTATTTGAGACTTGCCTCCAGTCGTGAAATAAATCACATCCGTAGACTAAAGCGATCACTGACACTCGATTTCCCCAGCAGCGCCCCTGCCAGACGCAGCACGCAGGAGGCAGGGCTACCGTGGCAGAGTAAGGCCTGTTGACCCTCAAGGAGCCTGTTGCCCCCAGCAGGTTAAGTAAAGGCGCTCTCAACCAGCAGGCGGAACCCCACACTCGACATTTCTCAATTACAGTGAGCAAAGATTGACTTATTCTTTTCTGTTTACAGAATTATGCAAAACTTATTCCTGGAGCTACAGTAGGGCTACTTCAGAAAGACTCTGGAAACATTCTGCAGCTGATCATCTCCGCTTATGAAGTATGATGTTTTACAGTTGGCTTCTGTTTTTTTGTATTTCTTTGATATTCAAAAAACTAAGGTGTGTTTTAGGCAGTTAACTGCACTTTAGTTTGTTGGTAGAGAGAATGCTTTTTCAGAGAAAAATCTCTGCATTACTGCAGCCTAAATATGAATTTTGTTCATTTTATTTGCAGATAGTCTTCCTGAGAGGTGGGGCCAAAGGTAGAAAGATAATACATCTGATCATAAAGTTGAGGATGTTTTTATAAGCAACAGCAAAGTTTTAAGTCTACTGAAAAGGATCCATGACTCATACAATTAAGCTCCCCTCTTTCTTGCCTGAAAAAAGAAAAGGGAAAAAACAAGTTTCAATTGCCAGCTCCACAAGTTTAATGAGACTACAACATAACTCAAAAACAAAACAAAACAAAATCAAACCCACACACAAAGCATACCAGGAGCAACACCACTTTGTACACTTTGTAGAGTCTCTGCTATCAAAACCAAGGAAATTTTCCATTTTATATATGTTATATTTGTATATATAATAGATATGTATAGTTTTATAATATATATACACATATGTATTTGTTGCCTCAACTTTGTTTATTAGCTTTGAACCTGAGGACAGAATTCCTCCCTTAAAATGACGTACACACCTACAGAGTTGCTTTGTTTCCTTTCTTTGTCCCATTTCATAACTTGGATCATCAGCAGTAGATGGACAATTGCCAACTCTTTGTAATTTTGCATCTGAAATATTATCCTTTCTTGCATTTACTTTCAAAGTAAAAGTACATACACACACACACACATACACACAAAGACAGTGAGGAAGGTCTAAATTAGGACAAGAATGAAAAAAGTACATTTTTATAAAGAACTAAGCTTTAATATTTGCTCTAGAGACAGTCACATAATACCTAATGAATAAAATTCTAATTTTTGATATTTTAAAATTACACTTAACTCTCATATGCACTCTATCCCAATATTTAGCATATCCTGACCAGTTGTCCTTAACTACATGACATTTCAGAATTTGGGGGAAGAATCTGGGAAGCTTTGTAAAAACAGGTGTGTCCAGATTCCTCTCACAGCTGTCTCAGAACTTTAAGGGAACAAGAGCAACATATCTTGCAAAAATTCCCCAATAATTTTGATATTGCCTCATCAATTTTGAAACCTACCTTAAGTGGGAAAAGCAAAGTATTCCTGCTCAAATACACTTCCCCAGAGAATAAAATATAGATATGTCCATCAAAATTATAATATGGTTTTTTTTTCACTTCTGTTCTCAGAAACTTCAGTTTTCTTAGTTCACATCAAAAATTAATCACCACGTTAGCTCATGCTTGAAATTCTTCCAGGCAGGAAAGCTTGTCAACAACATACGAAAAGCTTCTCCTGCCTTTATGCAGTAATTAGAAGTTTTAACGTGTAGAATAAAAGAAAATCACATAGCAATCCTTCACTGAATTAGAACACACTATTTTCCCTAACCCAGCTCTCTCAAAAGTGTTGGCCACTAAGATCTTCAAAGAAATTAAGCAAATTAGAAAACAGTGAATTGTCAAACTATTTCCCTCTCCTATCTGACTAGCCTGGTCTATGTCCCTGCTTGCTCGGTCAGAGACACGTCTCGCTCTGTGGTTACAACTCACTTACATAACTTACAGGACTACTGAAATCAAGGTACCACATGTCTGAAGTGAATCTCCTGTCCTTGTTTTACTGTCTCGATCTTGCTCTGGAGTTATAATGGAGACTTCAAGATTCACTGGATCCAGTATGCAACAGATCTCGGCACCAGTTCAAATTATTTTTCTATTCTGTTGTTTTTGAAGGTATTCTGAAAAGACATTAAAATGTGACATCCATAGACTGAATTTCTTTCCAGTTTATAAAAGAAAAAGAATGAGACTATACTGAAAGAAAACAGGAAATGCTTCTGACTGACTTCTAGTAGAGGAGAGGTATTTGTGGTTTATAACCAATGATGACGAACTTCAGCTCAATATTTTAGTGCTGTATTGACATAAAAAACCTTAAATACCAGATGTGCATTCATCTGACTATCATTCACTAATTTCCTTCTTTCCCTAAGCACATAATAAAGGCTACTGAAATATTAATGCTCCCAAGGCTAAGTTCTCTGCTGATATTTAAGCTCCAGAAAGGAAGTGACTTGGTTTGTTTTGTTTTGCTTGGTTCATGGTAGATGTCCAGTAAATGGATGAAGAATATGATGATATATACAAATAAATGTTTATGTCCTTTCTTTGGGAAACTCACATTAAAATATTCCTGGTAAAATTTGCGGTATGATATTTTAATTATACAGTGATGAGAATTTCATTTTGGTCAGATTATGTCACCCCCTACCCCAGATTTCTGTCATCTACAGACTTGTAGACATATCTATCATTTCTCATTTAGCTCCTGACTCACTGTGCTACTCACTGTCTTCAGCACTACTCCTGTCTCAAGGATTTCAGCCTGTGTGTGTATATATTTGTGTGTGAAATCTTTCCTATACTGCCCTCTCAGTTTCTTGAACTCTGTTCCAACAACAATCTTGTCCACTTATCACTTAATTACATTCTCGTATCTTCAGTGTTTTGTCCTACTTTAAACCTTCTCATTGCCAATAAACTCCATGATCTCAACTGCATGCAACCCATTCCTGATCACCACTTCCTATCTTTTCAACTCACTCCTACTACTTCTTTCCAGCTCACTCTTAATATTTCTTTCAACTCATCAGGATCTCCAATTAATTGGTGCCCCCCCCACCCTTTATATTTCCTCATCCCCTTCATGTTTCTCTTGCCAGGAACCCCAGCTTAGATTTAATCATTATGTTCACTCCTTAGACAAGCCGTCAACTCCCCTGCCCCTCATTGCTCCTTTGAAGTTCCTTGGCCAAACATGGTGCTGGTTAAATCCTACTGTCCACTCACTCTGCACAGCTGAATGGGAATGGAAAACACATGGAATCATGCTAACGAGTCTCACTTAAAATTCATGATCATGGATGGACCTTAAGCGAGTCCCAGCAATCAGACAGTATTTCTGTAGTGTATACCCAAGTAGGGATTTCTAGGAGTCAGTTGATATGTGAGTTGACAATCAGGAAAGTAACCTGAACTCTCCCAAACATACTTCACTAATACTTTACTTTACTCCTAAATTGATAGTAATTTCATCCTTCTCCTTGCTCGGGCCAAAAAGCTTGAAATCAGTCTTGACCCCCTCTTTCCCTTACACCACAAATTTCACTCATCAGAAAATCTTGTTGGCTTTGTCTTCAGAATTGTTTAGAGCTTGATCCAGTCCCTGACCCCACTGCTCTCATGCTGGTCAGAGCCACCATCCTCATTCACTGCAGTTATCGAGAAACCTCCTAAAGACTACTTCCCATTTCCACCTTCAGTTTCCTGTATTCTGTTTTCGCAAAACAGCTAGAGTTTTCTTTTTAAAATACAAAGTCTATCATATCACTCTTCTGTACATAACCTTAACCGTTTTCTCATTTCATGTTGAATAAACACTGAATTCTTTATTACAGCCCACGAGGACCCTCCCAGATCTGTTTCCCTGAACCCCATTACCTCTCTGACTTCACCTCCTGTTACCCGCCTCCAACTATCTGCTCCAGTGTAGCAGCCCAAGTCTGCTTGCTATACTGTTCCCAGAGCAAACCAGACATACTCATGTCTTAGGGTCTTGCATTGGTTGTACCCTGTTCCTGGAACACTCTTTTTACAGTATCGGAATGGCTAATTTCTTTTTACTTCCCTCAAATGCCACCTTCTTAATGAATCCTCTCCTGGCTAGTTTTTTTAAATCGCAGCCTACCACCTCTGCACACGCTTTCCTACTCTTCATTCCCCCTTGGTTATTCTATAGCGTTTATCACCTGCTAGCATGCTATATAATTTTCTTATTTATTATGCTTTTCTTCTTTCTTGTCTTCCCACTCTGGCATATAAACTACAAAAGGTCAGCAATTTTAGCGGTTGTGTTTTCTAAGAACCTAAATCAGTGTCTGGCACTCAATACATATTTTCTGAATGAATAAACTTAAACTGTAATTAGTTGAAATGAAACAGATTCAAAGAGTAAACTTTATTGCTATACTAGCAGAATTTAAAATCCAAAAGACATGATAGAAATAATCTTTATGACTGAGAAATGCCACTTCAATCTCTGTGCGTATTCTGAAAAGTTAGCGTATGTTCATCTGCTGAAGGAGTAACAATATGAGAAAATAAACAGGGAGGGAAGAGGAACGACTCAGTCAACAATTAAGAATTTGGAGGAAAGTAATCTTACTGCACAGGTGGCAAAATTATACATAAGGAAAATTTGAAGCTGAATATGCTTTCAAAATTCCAGCAATGAAGTGAGTATAAGAATTCAAATCTTTTTAGATGAATTCAGGTATAGCAATTCATATTTCATAACTTATAGTTTTATTTTTATTTTTAATAATTGGGCTTTGTCCCCCCAAGTACACACTTTTATTTATTTTTTTAATTAAAAAATTCAGCCACAACTGACATTCAGTATTATATTAACTTCAGGTATACAGCATAGTAAGACATTTAACTTATACACAGGCATGTAACTTAAAGTGATTCCCCCAATAAGTCTACTACCCAACTGACACCACACATAATTATTACAATATTATTGATTATGCCCCCTATGCTGTGTTTCACATTCCCAGGACTATTTTGTAACTGCCAACTTGTACTTCTTGTTACCTTCATCTTCCTCACGCAACCCCACAACCCTCCTTCCATCTGAGGACCATCAGTTAGTTCTCTGTGTCTGAATTGCCTTATTCAGAGGTGATTGTTCATTTACTTTGTCTTTTCGGATTCCACATACAAGTGAAATCATATGTATTTGTCTTTCTCTGTCTGACTTATTTTACTGAGGATGATACTGTCTAGGTCCAACTATGTTGTCACAAATGGTAATATTTCATTCTTCTTATAAGTGAGTAATATTTCATTGTACCTATGCATGACTTCTTTGCCCATTCATCTATTGACAGATGCTTAGGTTGCTTCCATATCTCGACTACTGTAAATAATGTTGCAGGGAACATAAGGATGTGTACACCTTTTCAGACTAGTATTTTAGATTTCTTCAGATAAATATTCAGAAGTGGAATTCTTGGGTCATAGTTAGATCTATTTTAATTATTTGAGGAAACTCCATATTGCTTTCCACAGTGACTGTACCAATTTGCTATCACACCTACAGTACACAAGGGTTCCCTTTTCTCTACATCCTCACCAGCAGTTATTGTTTGTTGATTTGTTGATGATGGCTATTCCAATAGGTATGAAGCCATATCTCATGGTTTTGATTTGCATTTCTATAAATATTAGTGATGTTGAGCATCTGTTTATATGTCTATTAGCCATCTGTGCATCCTCTTTAGAGACATGTCTATTCAGGTCCTCTGCCCATTTTTAATAGGATTGCTGGGTTTTTTGGTGTTAATTTGTATGTGTTCTTGATATATAATATTTTGGCTATTAACACCTTATCAGATATATCATTAGCAAATATGTTTTTCCATTTGGAAGGCTGCCTTCCATTTTGTTGATGGCTTCTTTTGCTGTGCAAAAACTTTTTAGTTTGATGTAGAGTAGACCAATTTGTTTATTTTTTCTTTCGTTTCTATTGCCCAAGTAGATATATTAAAAAATTACTAATATCAATATCAACATACTTATTTTTAAGAGAAAGAAGAACAGAGAAAGTCTGAACAGTAATACTAACTCCCCCCCCAAAACGAGCCCTCCCTCTGCTTTCTTTGACATTCTTTCTCCTGAAAAACCTTGCCTTTATCTCCCCCTTTCCTGTAACCTATATGCCTCATATTTAGTCTTCCTTTTTTCAATCTACATCATCCATACCAAGCAGCCTCAGTCCCTGATCCGCATGCCTCAGGCCAGGGTGAATGCAACAATATCTCAGCTTTCTTGATTCAAGTCTTCCAATCCCCTCCACTAGTCTGTTCTGCACTCACCTTCTGGAAAACTACCTTCTCACTGTATCTTCAGTGGATCCAGCCCCTGCTTCAAAGCTGTCAATGATGTTTACCATGGGTCTAAACTCATCTCTCTAAACTGCAGGCCTTTTTGTTTTCTGTTGTCTCCCAGGACAGCTGGAGTGTTAGCTTGGTCTGAACCCCTTTGTCTTCATTCTGTACCACTCCTGGCACTGATCTTTCTCTCTTCTGATCTCCTCCCCTGGGACACCATTGTCATCCCTTCCACACATCTAAATCCAACAGCTGCCAAGGACTAGTCCTCTAAAACTTCAGCCTTCACTGCTTTGGGCTGTCTTAAACTCTCATCTGTATTGTATAATGTTTTTCAGTTTAATGGCACATTGATTGACCATCTATCCATCTTGTTTTTTTGAGTAAGATGATGATCATCTTGAAGGCAGATGAACTTGAAGAAATCTGGACTTAGACTCATTTCCCCAGACCTGACTCGACACTAAATATAAAATAGGTACTCAATGAATTCAAGGCACAGTTTCTCCCACATTTTAACATCTCTAAAACTGGGATACATTTTATATAATTAATGGTGTCTCACAAATGCTGGTAGTAGGTGGAAGTCATGCTGTAGTTTTCATTTCCTGTACATGTATATATATGTACTTGGGCATAACTATATATATTGTTACTCCAATTTTAAGACTATTCTTTGTACTATAAATGTTGAGAATAATTGTCATTGTAAAATATCTTAAAAAGTATACACTTTGATTTGATATTAAAATAAGAAGTTATTATATATGGCAGAAATTTACCAAAACAGAGCTGCAGGGTATACACTTGATATTGGGGAAGCAAATAGAGTATTCATTATTGGAGGAATGACTGCAGTTCTGTATTCCTTGCAAAGTAACAACCAGCTGTTTTATGGGAACTGAAAAATGATGGTACTTATAAGAAAAAGATGTTACACTTTGTTGCTCAGTACAAGTGAAAGAATTGCCTCTTATATGCCAAACGATGCAACTCAGGGCCGGAGAATTTTCCAGATGTTTCAAAATAGGTAAAATAACTTTCAAAGCAATGACAGACTTATGACATTAATTCATATGTTGTACAAAATGGCTTTGAGGTATTTGGTCATAGTTTGTTATAAAATAATGGTGAATCTTATCATTACCAGCATCTTAGATTTAATAAAATACAGTTGTGTGTGTGTATCTTGCTTGCTTGACGGATGGTATTGTGAATTTCCTTTATGTATAGTTTAATTTTATTCTTCTGTAGTTCAATAAACATGATTTGCAGATTCTTCTTCTGGCTGCGTTTTCCAGTTGTGACCTAATTTAACTCTTTATGTCTTAATGAAAGGAACTACGGTCCGAGGTGGAGCTGGAAGTATTAGGAGACACAGAAGGACTCAACCTGTCATTCACAGCGATCTGTAACAACAGCACCTTCTTCCCACACCAAAAGAAATGTTCTCACATGAAGGTGGGAGACACAGTAAGTAGATGGCCCATGGGTGGTCCGAAAAAATATCAGGATAAGTCAGGAGTTACCTTAGTGCACTGAAGCTGGACTTTTCCCTTCAAGAATTTTCTAATAAAGATTTCCTAACACGTAAACGCCTTTGGCAAAGCAGATCCCCATGTGGCTTGGTTTCCTCCCATGCATTTTGGTGGATAGGAGATAATTCGCGTTTTCTTTTCCAGGCTTCATTCAACGTGACTGTGAGTATACCAAACTGTGAGAAAAGAAGCAGGAACATTATCATAAAGCCTGTAGGGCTGGGGGATGCCCTAGAAATACTTGTCACTCCAGAATGCATCTGTGACTGTCAGAAAGAAGTGGAAGTGAACAGCTCCAAATGCCACAATGGGAACGGCTCCTTCCAGTGTGGCGTGTGTGCCTGCAACCCTGGCCACATGGGTCCTCGCTGCGAGTGTGGGGAGGACGTTATGAGCACAAATGCCTGCAAGGAGGCCCCGGATTACCCCTCATGCAGTGGAAGAGGCGATTGCTACTGTGGGCAGTGCATCTGCCACTTGTCTCCCTATGGAAACATTTATGGGCCTTACTGCCAGTGTGACAATTTCTCCTGCGTGAGACACAAAGGGCTGCTCTGCGGAGGTAGGCTACGTCTAAATCCACCTTATTCTGCTAATAGGCAAGTGTCAAGAAGGGGCTCCTCATCTTTTGAACTTCCACAATTGCTTGGGCATAGTAGATGCTCAATAAATATTTGCTAATTAGATGAGGTGGGTTAATCTTTAGACCTAAGGTAACTGGTCTTTTCTTGTATTTTTTTCTGGTTCTTGCATTCATTTGTAGTGAGATCACTGCCAATTCAATTTGCATCTCTATTATTATTTCCCAAATAGTAAACAGGTAAAAGATGGAAATGCCTTCCCTTTGGTTATTACACAGACTCCACAAAACTGGATATAATTTGAATTTCATTATGTTTCAGACTTTTCTGGATCAGTCTACTGGGTATCAGACCCAACTCTTAAATGCCTATTACTTTGGAAAACAAGCTTTTTAAGGGGCATAATGTCAAGAACAAAGGATATAAAAAACCTTAAGGGATTTTCAGAGCCTTTATTTTCACAAATGTTTTTTTAACATCTGTTATGTGATAGGTACTAAGTTAAAAACTGAGTATAATAAAGATGGTTTTGATAGGATAAAAATGAGAATTGTCAAATTTTTTGAAATTGAGAAAATTTTTAAATAGAAATGCTCATGTTCTAGTATTCTTTGTAGATGTAAAACCACTTTACAGAATATAATATATATATATGTATATCGTGACTAGTATGTCATCATTTGGATACGTGTGTATATATTTAAAGATTATCTGTTAAGACAAGACTTAGAAATGTGTTCATACACTCTAAAATGATTACAGTCCAAATAGTAAGTGCTGAATTTAAGCTCTTATGACTTCCCTTTACACATTGTGTGGGCAGGCAGCTTTTCAAAACAGAAAGCTATTATCTTCAGAGAAAACTAAGCAAGTTGTGTTTTCCAAACCACAGTGTCAGGAACATATGAAAGAGAGTGATTTTCAGGAAAGGGGGCCTGAGAAAAGAACACACAAAGTATCCCATGCTCTTTGAAAACCCTAGGATACCCTTAGAAGTGTACTTACATTTCATTTCCCTGCTGCTGCTGTTGCTAGCAATAGGTTCCTCTGAGGCCTCCTTCTCTCTTCCCCCAGAGAATGAAAAATTTAGGGTCTGTCCAGAATGAGACACATTTTTCTCCCTTTTCACTGCAAGGTGTATTTCTTTATTTAATGGGTGTGTTTCCAAACCTACATAAGTCTTTTCACAGTATGAACACAGGACAAAATCTAAAGCCAAAGACTACTGCCACATCCTGGAAAGCATATTTTCAGCAGAACCCCAGATTGCATTTCTAATAAAGATCTTTTGATAATATATGTGCTCCAAACATTTGAAATTACCTTTCAAAACATCTTAAGGGTAATCTAATACAATATAATAGCAATACTAACTCCACCTATATTTCACCCTTTAAATCTTAGATCAAAGAGATCTAGAGTAGTACAAATTGCTGAACTGTGTTCAGCAACACAGTTCTTACAGTTTTTTTTATGGTCTTTGCATTTTGTTTTATACCATGCGTGCAAACAGAAATACACTAAAAAAACCGGGACTTGATCTGTGCACTGTAGTTCACAAGGTCTGACAGTAATGCCATTTTGTAGCAGATGCAATGATTGCTAAAGAAATTCTATTTAGAAAATGCAATGATTACTTCAGTTGGACTCAAAACTTCACCAGTGCCAATTGCCTTCATTCTTTGGGGTAATTTACGATACTGAACCATTACTGTTTCTCAAAGTTGTTTTGTTTTTTTGCTAACATTGCACAGGATGTTACTCTATTATTAGTAATGTCCCTTATTAGAAGGTATGATAAAATTAAGTACAATTATCCAAACTCAATGAACACTTATGGAATACCTACTATGTGCCTCGTGAATGGACACTCTGTTGTTCACAGCAGAGCCCCGAGTATGCTACAGCTTCAGATCGTGCGTAGACCTCACTTACTTCAGAACTGTGTGCCACTCCTCCAAAGGGCCGTCATCACAGTGCTCCTCTCCATCTGCAAGCACTCACAGATACAGGACTCCACCCCTTTTATTTCCTGCCCAGATTCCATTAGTCTCTTATATTTTGATTGTAAGAGGCTAGAAACTCTAACAGGCAAATAAAATCTTCCTGCCAGTGTGCACTTAGAGTTATCGGTCAGTGGCATTCCAGAAAGACCCTTTCCTCTGAAAGAGCCTGATGCTTTTTTCTTGATTTTTACTTTTCATCTTGCTTCTACATGAAGCCATTATAAAGGTTCTGTTGTGGTGATCTTATGAACAGGTATTTAAGATAATTAGCTGCTTGTGGATATTAATTAGCAACTTTTATGACTAGGCTGATGGTTCTAGACAGCCCACAGAAGGGAGGGTTTCTTCAACTTTTTTTCAACAAGTCCACAGGATTAGTCAAAGAATATATATGAATGACCCATGGACATGGACCACAGTGTGGGAACTGACCGTGGGAGTCAGGGACAGGCGGGGTGGAGGGGGGCAAAGAGGGAAAGTTGGGACTATAATAGCATAAGTAAAATATTTAAATTTTAAAAATAAAATAAAAATTGCTAAGAAAAAAGAAAAAGAAAGAAAGGTTTCTTAATTCTGAACAAAGCTCATGAAAGATTTTCTAGATTTCTGCCAACTAATTCTTATGCAATGACACACTTGGGCATTCCCAAAGCATCTGGAGATGCACATTTCACTTGACAATATTCATAAATCGTATTTATATTTAAGGATAAATTTTACTACAGTAATCACTCCCTATCATGCAAATAAATTTTCTCCTTTGCTGAGGAAGAACAAAAAGCAATTGTAGTTTAGAGGATAACTTACATATAATAATGGTTTGACCTAAATCACCTACCTATTCTTAGCTTTGAAATAATTAGTTCAATTATGAATTAAATAGGTTACAAAATGCAGTTGGAATATGTCTTAATGTTATACATCCAGATAAATTTCAGCTCTTATCTTTCATTAACAAACTATATGTCATTTTAGTGTGTGTAAACATATATTTATGCTCATATATATTACATATAAATTCCAACTCTTATCTTTCATTACAGAGATATATGCCTTCAGTGTATACATGGATTTTTCCCTTTAAATATATTTTATTGATTATGCTATTACAGTTGTCCCATTTTCCCCCTTAATCTCCTCTGCCCTGCACTCCACATCCCACCCACATTCCCCCCATTAGTTCATGTCCATGAGTCATACATACAAGTTCTTTAGCTTCTATATTTCCCATACTATTCTTAACCACCCCCTGTCTATTTTGTACCTACAATTTATGCTTCTTATTTTCTGTGCCTTTTCCCCCATACTCGCCCCTCCACCTCCCTGATAATAACTCTCAATGTGATCTCCATTTCTGTTTCTGTGCCTGTTCTGGTTGTTTGCTTAGTTGGTTTTTGTTTTTTTAGGTTCGGTTGTTGATAGTTGTGAGTTTATTGTTATTTTACTGTTCAGAGTTTTGATCTTCTTTTTCTTAGATAAGTCCCTTTAACATTTCATATAATAAGGGTTTGGTGATGATGAACTCCTTCAACTTGACCTTATCTGGAAGCACTTTATCTGCCCTTCCATTCTAAATGATAGCTTTGCTGGGTAGAGTAATCTTGGATGTAGGTCCTTGTTTTTCATGACTTTGAATATTTCTTTCCAGCCCCTTCTTGCCTGCAAGTTTTCTTTTGAGAAATCAGCTGATAGCCTAATGGGAACTCCTTTGTAGGTAACTGTCTCCTTTTCTCTTGCTGCTTTTAAGATTCTCTCCTTATCTGTAAATTTTGGTAATGTAATTATGATGTGCCTTGGTGTGTGCTTCCTTGGGTTCAACTTCTTTGGGACTCTCTGAGCTTCCTCGACTTTCTGGAGGTCTATTTCCTTTATCACTTTGGGGAAGTTCTCCTTCACTATGTTTTCAAATAAATTTTCAATTTCTTGCTCTCCCTCTTCTCCTTCTGGTACCCCTATGACTCAGATGTTGGAATGTTTAAAGTTCTCCCAGGGGTTCTTAAGCCTTTCCTCACTTTTTTGAATTCTTGTTTCTTGATTCTGTTCTGGTTGAGTGTTTATTTCTTCCTTCCAGTTCAAACCATTGATCTGAGTCTTGGTTTCCTTCCCTTTACTGTTGGTTCCGTGTGTATTTCCCTTTTTTCACTTTTCATAGCCTTTCCTTTTCCCTCTATTTTGCGACCATACTCAACCAATTCTCTGGGCATCCTGATTAACAGTGTTTTAAATTGTGCATCTGATAGATTGGCTAATTCATCATTGCTTAGTTGTATTTTTTCTGGAGCTTTGAACTTTCATTTCAAAGTTCTTTCATTTGGGGCATTTTTTTTTTTGTCTCAGCACACCTATTACTAGTATGGAGCAGAGCCTTAGATATTTGCTAGGGCGAGGCAACCCACATTGCTACATTGTGGTGCTATATGTTGGGGATGGGTCCAAGAGGGAACAATGTCACTTGCTGGGCCCTCCTCGGCCAGCTTTCAGTCACTGCCTCCACCACCCACAAGCAAATTGGGTCCTTCTGGTGCTGATTCCTGCGTGGGTGGGTTTGAGTAAGTTCTAGGACCACTAGGGTCTCTCCAACAAATTCTCCTATGAGGCTGGGAGTTTCTCCTGCCGCCTCAACCCCCACAAGTTTTTTCAATCAGAGGTCTTGAGGCTTTGTTTCTCTGTACTGATGCACTGGAATCCTGGGTTGCGTGGTTTGTCTTGCTCCCCAGTTTTTCCTCTTGGCTTATGCACACACTAAACTAATGTGGGACCTCCCATTCTGTCAGGCACCACCTTGCTGAGAGTCCTCTCAGCTGCCTGGCTCTGACCCTCCTACCGATTGGGATGAATGTTTCTTCTTTAACTCCTTGGTTGTTGGACTTCAATACAGTTCAATTTTCTGTCAGCTCTGGTTGCTTTTTGTTTTTAAACTTGTTGTCCTTCTTTTGGTTGTACGAGGAGGCACAGCATATCTACCTATCCCTCCATCTTGGCTAGAAGTCTTACATATGTATTTTTGCATATATCAGAATCCAACTTTGAAATCTTTGTGGCTTTCTCCTTTGTTCTATTATCACAGGCAGGCACAGTTAACCAGGTTCTTGGTGATTATGGACAAAGAATTGAACCAATCACATAGAGAGTGTATAGCAGGAAGAGAACAGATTTATTAAGCAATAGTACACTCCACAGAACATGGGAGTGGACCATCTCTGAGCAGAGACTGACCTCAGGGGCTAGAGAGATTCTATTCTTACAGGAAGGATATTTCCCAGCAGTTTTGGTGGGGTTTTATTGTACATGTTCAAGTAGTTATATTACTTTAAAGCTACTGCGCATGTGGTCTCCCATGATTTTCCCTGACTGGCCACCAGGGAAGGGAGTCCCACAATGTTAATTTATTATTATGCTATTGTAATGAAGCAGGGATCATGTAGCGTCTTCTGTGCCGGTGCATTCATGATTCACCATGATTTAGTGCTTTTCCAAAAAGCAGGAACAACCAGTCTTGGAACAGCATCTCTGTCCTGAGTTTATGTCCTTTATTTTAGCCCTGGGGCACCTCCAGAGTTTCCCCCTTCCTATCTCCTGCCTCACTATGATTTCCTGCCTCAAAGCTCTTGAGCATAAAGCCAGGTCATAAATGCAGGAAAGTCAGTACCCACTAAGTGAAAGTTTACAAGAGAAAACCCAGAACCCTTCTTTATACAGTGAACATAGTAGTGTCTTCTATCAGTAAAAACCTGTCTCACTTATGATTTCTTTTACATATTTTAGTTTTCAGTACAATTATAGGAGTTTTATTACTGATGGATAATCTTGTTTTCAAGTTCTTCCTATTGAATAGTTTGTAGGAATAATGATACTAACTTACATCTACTTACTGCTTTTATGGGCTGTAAACTATATTGCAAATACTGTTATATATTATCTTATGTAATCTTAATAATAATCCTATCAAATAGATATTAATAATTCCTCCTTATTGATGATGGAAACTAAGGCACAGAAAAGTCAAGTGATTTCCCCAAGTTCACTTAGCCAGGAAGGACTTGGGCCAGGATTCTGGCCATCCGGCTCCAGATCTGCGCACTCACCCCCCACCACCACTCCTATGTGCCTTCGGAAAGTTGCTGGAAGAGCAAAACCTATGAGGCAATGCCTGGTACACATTTTTTTTCTTGCAGAAAAGTACCAGTTATAAAATCTGTGACTAAATGTTATTTGTTTGGAATGGTAAATGCCTATTTTAGTATCTTGGGCATGGTAAGAACCCCCCCAAAATATTATGAAAACACACAAGCCATTATATTAAATACTTTGTTTATCATTTCATAGTATTTCTTGCAGTATTATGTGGCCAGATCCACAAGGAGTTTTTCAGGACTGGATGAGATACTTGCCTGTAGCAAGTCTCCATGCTCCTCCTTCTTCAAGCTGCCTCTGCCCTGGGCTTCCGCAACATCCCTCTTTCCCCTCTTACCTCTCAGGCCCTTTGCAAGGATCCCTTTCTCTGATCACATTTTAGTGCTCTGCAGGGATTTTTCAGACTATCTGTATCTGTATCCCCTATGACCTGATTCACAGCAATTTCAACTGCCATCTATTTTTAGTAGATCCCGAACTGCACGTTTTAGGTTCATATACAGGATGGGGGAAAAGTTGTTTGTATGGAAAATAATACAATAGTTAATAAATAATAATACAAGAATAAACCCTGTGATTTGCATACTCACAACTATAAACCTACTTTTGCCCCACCCTATATATACAGTTGACCCTTAAACAACACATGCTTGAACCACGTGGTTTCATTTATATGTAGATATTTTTCACTAAATACTGTAAATGTATTTTCTCTTCCATATGACTTTCTTAATAATATTTTATATTCTCTACCTTACTTTATTGTATGAATACACATAACATACACAACATGTGTTGATCAACTACTTGTGCTATCAATAAGGTTTCTTTCTAGTCAACAGTAGGCTATTAGTAGTTAAGTTTTATGGAAGTCAAAAATTATATGCAGATTTTCACCTGTGTGGGGGGGGAAAGGGTATGGTTGGCATCCCCAACCTCTATGTTGTTCAAAGTTTAACTGTATTTAACTGCCTAGTAGGATGTCCTGCATGTCCCTCAAACTCAACAGAACCAGAAGTGACCTCGTTTTGTCCCCTCTCAAGGCTTCTCTTCCTCCCCTGCTTCAGAACAGTCTATTCATTCAATAATTAAGCACTACTCCACGCCTGGCACTAGGGATAAGGCAGAGTGTGAGATATCTTTCATTCTAGGTCAGTGAAAAGCTGCACCACCCACTTAGCAGCCCAGTCTGGTCGCCTGGGGAGGGTTCTATCCCTCTATCGCTTCCTCTCCCCTTCCACCCAGCACCAATCACACCCACACCCGGAGCAGCTCCTCACCTGAGGGCATACCCTTTCTTCTCCATTCCCAAAGCCCTTAAATTTCCCTAACTGGTTTTCCTGTCTCTAGTTTGACCCTCTCTACTGATGCCAGGATATTTCTAGATACGTAACTATCTGTTCAGGTCTTTCCCCTGCTTAAAATCCCATAATTTTCAGGACAAAAGTTCTTACTTCAGTCCATAAAGCTTTACATGATGTGATTTCTGACTTTTTGCAGACTTTCTCTCCTCCCCTCCTGCCCTACCCTTGGCCATATCCACCTGAAACTACCATGAGTATTAAGCAGATCACACAATGAAAAACTTCGGGTGTAAACCTATACTTTTTTTCTCTGCTTAAAATGCACATAATCCTCTTCTATCTTCTCTTTATTTTCCAAACTCAGCTCAAGCTGAGCTGAGTTTCTTCTGGAAACTTCCCTCAAATCTCTAGTTTAATTTGGAAACTCTTCCCCTGTGAGTATAATAGTTATCGCACTGTATTGTACTTATTAATAGTACTATTTATTTGTCTGTCTCCTAACCCCAAACTATAAGCTCAGCGACCTTGTCTATTTATTTTTGTGTCTTTATGCCTAATACCATCTTTGGAACATGATATATGTTCAATTAAAGTTTGTTAAGTAAACGAGTTTGTTGAGCACTCACTAGAGGTCTGTAGGACATCTAACGAGTGGATGCAGAGCTAGGAGATGGACACAGCTTCTCATCTGACCATTGGAGATAGATCTTATTCTTTCTATTTTATAGATGAGGTTTTCATGATTATTAAGCTTGAGTGTTATAGAGATGGGGTATTATCCAGGTCTGTCTTATATCTCTATCCTATGGCACCTTAACTAAAAAAAATATTGTGAAAGCAATCATCTGTTTTCATCTGGCTGTGAATTCTCTGTGATATAACATCAGGTAATCAAGTTCGTCTTCAGTTAAGAGGCCAGATCAGTAAATATACACAATTAGCAGAACATATTCCATAAAATATCTCTTCTCACTGCCTTTTTCTCCCCATACACACTCATTTTTTTTCTTCAGTCATTTTGACGATGTTTAAAGGCAAACAGAAAAGATAGTTCCAAAAATCTGAAAGAGGTTTTGACCCTAAGAAATGCGGGGCGTTTTGTTTTACAGATAACGGCGACTGCGACTGTGGTGAATGCGTGTGCAGGGCTGGCTGGACCGGCGAGTACTGTAACTGCACAACCAGTATGGACTCGTGCACTTCTGAAGACGGGGCGCTCTGCAGTGGGCGAGGGGACTGCGTTTGTGGCAGATGTGTTTGCACACACCCCGGAGCCTCAGGGCTGATCTGTGAACGTTGTCCTACTTGTGGTGATCTCTGCAACTCTAAACGGTAATGTCTCTACTTTCTTCAGTCCCTTTTGTCCATATATTTCATGATGATCAAAGTCATAAATAATAACGTTTGATGAACTCAGATGATGTCAGCTTGCTTTTGTTGGGTTTGGTCTCCAAGCGTCCATCAAAATATATAAGCCCATAAGGCCTCATGACTGTCAGCCTGGAATGCCAGTCCTTCACTTTCCTCTCTCTCAGTCCTGATTACCCAGGACCACAAAATCAGGTTCCTGCAAAAGACCAGCAAGGGAAGCTGAGCTGATGTCCCACGCCGATAACATCAGATAGCCTCTCAGTCACAAAGCCATTCACACCTATGGAATACCCTGGGGGTAGACGGAGGACACCTGCATTCAGTACTTCTTCAGGGGAAACAGATAAGCTTCTTTCTTATCTACAAGTTTATAAGGCTGACCTTACTGATTCATTCTTATCTACAGACCCTTGGAGGCACAGAGGCAGAAAGACAATCTTGGCTTTCAGTTTCTTCCCTCTTCTTTTACCACTCAAGCTCTTTGGCACCTTCCTTTGGTTGTCGTTCGGTACAACTATTGGGGATCGTATTTCCTTTTATACCATATGAACAACAACAACAAAAACAAAGCACACTTTTTTATTATCCAGAAAAGAAATATTTCTTTGGTTGGCAGCTAAGTTTTTAGTAGAAGTGGGACAACACTTGTAAGTTAAATGACACAAGTCTCCAAATTGGCTGTGTTATGATGTTAGTGTGCGATGCATTGTGCAGCCAAGATGTTTAAACAGGTCATGTTTTCATTAACTCTGGTACCCAAATGAAATTTGCATTTTCATTTCCAATGTGAATGAAGAAAACCCATATTTGCTCAGTGGTTGCTCACCATTCAGGTGTTAAAACTTCTCTGTCACTGTGCCTGGACAAATGCCAAGAGGATGGGGACATAGACTTATCTGAGTAGAATTTAATGTAAGATGTCCTTTTAAGTTGTTTCTTCTATTATTTTTCTATTTTGTTTTCTGTGTTAACATGTTATCACGTTAACATGATTCAATCTCAAATCTGGTTTATAAGATAAGTAATTAATAGTCAAAGTAGTTTAAATTTGAGGAATCAGGTTGATCGCAGTGATCTCTGTGGTGCTTATGTTAGTTCTGAAACGAGTCCATGCTTTCATTCACCAAGGTGGTGCAAGTAGTGTGCCAGGGACCATGTTAGGCCATGGGCATGGAGTGATGACTAAAACTGTCATAGCTCCTGCCTTCACTGGTGCTGAGAATCTAGCGGGGAAAAAGCACATATTTTTAAAAGTAATCATGATTAGGGTACTGGAAATATCAGGGGGAACACTTTGTGAAAGTATGTGATTGTCTAACCATTATACTATACGCCTGACACTAATACAAAATAATATTATATATAAACAGTAATTGACCAATAAAATTTAAAAAAAAACAAAAGTAATTATGATGATTCCTAGGCTGACAGTTCCAATTGGAGATACACAAAGTGCTTTACGGCAGAAACTACATGTATGGCAGGAGACAGGCCAGCCAGACTAGCCTGGGCAGCCATCAGTGAGATGCACAAAGGGGCAGAGGGTCTAAGAGCCTCCACTATTTTCAGCAACACCCTGCAAAAGCCACTCCAAATAAATATAGAACTTAGATAAATGCCGTATGCATACAACACAGGGAAGCTTTCAGACAAGGCTTCTGTCCCCACTCCCATAGATTGCTGCTCTTAAGCCCTTCCTTCAGAGGAACTCAGAGGCGTCCACGGTAAGGGAACTAACTGGTAAGAGTCGTGGAAGACTTGCCCAAGAAAGTGAGGTTTCAGCTGAGATGTGACAAGGCATGGGTGAGGGTGGGGAACATACACTGTGAAGAGTGTATGTTTCCATGGCCAGCTGAAGAAAGAGGCACCATGATGTATGTCCACAGTAAGAAAACTTTTGCTGTGTTGGCTTACTCCACATACAATCTGTTTGTGAAGTGATTTTCAGCATAAGGTTAATTCAGAGCCCAAGTTTTACTTTGTTATATAGACATCATTACGGTAACTTAATTTCTGGGCTTAAAATACACTTTTCTGTAAGTAGCAATCTTTTATTAAACAGCCTGCTTTGTTAATGAGGATCAAGGCTGTAATCCCCAGCTTTTGAAAATACCCCTATCGATGTTTGGATTAACTTAAAAGAGTTACAGAAAAGTGAATCTTCTTTTTTAATAGTCATTCATGACATATATGAATTCTTGTGAAAATATGGACCACTTCTGTTAAGAAATTCAAACTTTGTCTAATCTATAATTACATTTTACCAGCCTAAACCCTTCCCAGGAAAATCCAAAAAGAAAACGTAGCTAAATCAAATACCGAAATAATTAGGAGGCTTTTTAATTGACTTTTTTTTTTAAACTTAAGCAATCATTAGAGATAAATGAGGTTAGTAATTATTATCAAGGCTGGCTCAGGGAACATTGATTACTGAGTGGAAATCAGAATAAAGCTGCTTCCTCTTGGACATCACCCAACTATCTTCTGAAAGTACAAAAGGCACCATCCTGTATGAGACACTCCTATAGCATGAATCGCTGCTGCAGCATTAAAGCAATATCCCAGCTGCCTCCGTGAACTGATAAACTCTGTTGAATGATGTTCACAGGAGCTGCATTGAATGCCACCTGTCTGAAGATGTCCAGGCCGGAGAAGAATGTGCTGACAAATGCAAACTAGCTGGCGTGACCATCAATGAAGAAGAAGGTTCTCCTTGTCTTAAATCATTTTCCTTTTCTTTACATAGTTCCTGAGAGGCAGAAACTCTGTGCTAGGGTTTTTGTTAGCTTGACTGCATTTGTAGCACAGTGTTAGTTCACTCATTCTAGTTATTAAAGGGAAATGTATTCTATAAGGCTAAATCTTGATGGTTGGGGATACAAGAATTTTAAAGTCAAGACTATTTCATTTGACTTCAGCTCTGTTTGCAAGTTCACCTCTGCTTAACAAATGCAACTGTAGAGATCTCCAGAATGCTATATTCTTCGAATTAGAAAGAACATTGAAGAAATGTCTAATGTTAACCCCCCAAGCCTGAAATCATCCTCTATCATCTGATTGCTTTATTTCAAAATAGAACAGTGCAGGGTGTAACATGAGTTTCCTGATAAGTCCTCAGACACCAGGTAGCTGCTGGTTAGGGACCATTTTTCCTCCCCTCCCCTCTGAGTGCTTTCACTCCCAACTTTCCAAACATGAGCATTGCATGGCCACCCTTAACTCCCCATTGTCTCACTCCCAAATACGAGAAGAGCCTGCTACCTTTAACTGCTTAGCAGTCCCCCGCTCTTGCTTTTTGCCTGTCATTTTGAAATGTAATTACTTAAAAGCAGGTTTTTCCTACTGGCAAATTAACATCTCAAATATTTAAATGGGTTGTATTTTAGCTGGTAAGGCCATTTAAACGATAATTTGTGAACATTAAAACCAAGAAGATGACTAACTCCTCCTAAAGGGACAGTCTGGGGGAACTGGTTTTCCCATCATCGCAAACCCTCCGCGTTATTATGCTGCTCAGGGAGCAGCTGCTCTGCCGGCTTCAGAGGGCCACCGAGATACACCTCAGGTGGAGTGGTGTAATCAGGACACTAATTCACGACCCTCTAGGATATGTGTCTGGAATAGATGGAATTAGAATACCAAAATTAATCCATTTTCAAGGAGAAATAAGTGACATTCATATTGTTTTGAAAATTACCTACATTGTTTCAAAATTGAGATTTCTGACTGTGCAGAGTGGAGTAACCCCATAGGGAGAGGGCATGACCAGTGCTCATAAAACCCCTCATCTGTGTTTTTTCTGTTGACTAAAGAAAAATTGGATAAAATGGTGGATACCTCATACTAATAACGAAGGTACGATGCCCCAAAGCACTGAGTAAAGTGGCATTCGTGGGCTGTCCACGTTATAACTAGTACACGGTCTTGGCATATCCTTCTGGCTTCATTTTACAGCAAACGTCTGGGGTATTTACCAGGTGTGTCCAAGAACTGACTAAAAATTGTAGGAAATGCCCTGCAAATCACTAGAACTCAGTTCAGTAGCAGCGTGGGACATCTAACATGTGAGGGGAAAAAAGGAGTGACTCTTGGAAACATGTAAATCATGAGCAGGGAATTACTATATTTAAATACATAGTTTTCTCAGTACATTGTTGTAAATGCTTGGATTTGAGATAAAAACTAGGTCTCAAGTGGCATTTAAAATATTTGCATTATTTTTTGTGTGTAATTGACTAAATTATCTTCAAAAACGGGGAATGCAACTATTTCTAACTCAGAAGTTGAAAATAATAATTGGATTACTAATACCATTTAAAAGCACTAAACTTGATGGATTTGGGAAAGATATATAATTGTCAGCCTGTGAATTGGAAAGTCACTTTTGTAATGAGCCTATTTATAAGTCCTATTTCAAGTTACTTGCCCAGTTATGCTATTGATCAGATCTCCTTGAAATTATCACGACATATTTGCTCTTCCATGGTCTTTTATCAGCTCACCCTCCCCAACAAGGATGGAGAGTAAAATGAGTATAACTTTATAATCTGAATAAATTGCTCCCAAACTGCTCAGTGATGATGTGTGAGAGCATTTCCGAGGACGTGTGGTTTAATTTTATCCAATTCATTTTACTAGAAGAGACATCATCAATTTACTCCAACATCTATGTACTCAGGGCATTGTTGCTCACAGTGCATTCCATGTGTTCCATTTAAAGCTAATTCTAAAAGTGCTAAACAAACAAATCTCCATGGTCATATACATTTTGGAGATGGGAAGCTAAGCCTTTTGTTTTCTTGAAGGACTCCTTTGAGTTCTTATGCAGAGTAATTTGCATGTGCATTGCAAATTTTCAGGAGAGGCAAAGAGAAGTTGCTGTGATAAATACACAGTTTTCTAAGTACTCAATGTTATCTGACCACAGAAACCCTTCTTTCTTCTCCTTGTGAAACCATTTTCTCTGAAAACTACTGACTTGGCCCTGGGAGCAAAGGTCTCAAACACGTAGTTATCTTGGTTCACTGGTACAGATGATTTCTATTTTTCCCATTTTTCCTGGACCTTCCTAGATCCAGGCCCCCTCACCCCCATTCTCACATTTCTTCCTTTCTATCTAAGTGTGATTTCCCGACTGCCTGAGATCTTATTTTCATTGTATTATTCTAGAACAGCACTGCTGGCGCTCATAAAGGTGGGTAGAAAAGAAAGTTTCATTTCTTAGGAACAACAAAAGAAAACCTTAGCAGCTTAATTATGCAAATCTCCAGCCCAAGCTGGACCCTTTCATTACACATTCAATAATACCATTTTAATACCCAAACACTGTAAAACAGGCCAAGTCTCGAGTCGTCAGCATCATGAAAAGGAGTGGTGAATTAATTAAAGTAAGAAGGGAGTCATGACTTAAAGGTCATATTAGCAGTTCCATTAAAACTTAAATAATCCTGGCCAAGTCAACTAAGCCTTCCTGTGCTTCAGTGTACCTATTTAAAACAGAATAAAAAAGCAGGATTAATATTACTGAAAAGAGTGTTATAAGCTCTCCACATATTTTCTACCTGACAATAAAATGTTCCATTAAGTAAGTTCGAGAGGAACAGAGTGGGTGTGCACTGTCACGGTGGAGAGAAGGAGGGAAGGAAAAAATAAGCCAAACGGGAAAAGGCATATCCCCAAGACCTGATGAATCTCAGTTCATTGGAGGGCCGTGGCAGGAGGACATGTGTTGAAGGCCATCTAAAAAAATGACTGAAGTATGGATTATATATATGCAGATCTGTTGCTATCAAACATGCGAAATAACACAAATTTCATTAATCAACTGTTGCCTAGAGGTTCCCGAACCTCTTTATCAGAACCACCTTATTAAAAATACTATTAAACAACTCACTAAAATACAAACACCTGTGCATACTACTGATCTCTCAGATAGAATGCCCAGGGGTGGATCTCTGCAATCCATATTTTCAGAGCTTCCAGGTTATTTAGATCATAGACATTTGGGAATGGCCAAATGAGAATGGTTTTTAGTTAGATTTCTTTTTTCTTTTTTGCGAAGGGGACTTTTTTAATCTTTATTGTATTTTTCATTACCATTTAGCCCCGCTAAACCCCCTTCCCCGGCAATCACCACACTGTTGTTGTCCATGTCCATGAGTCCTTTTTCCTTTCTGCTCGATCCTTCCAACCCTCTGCTCCCCACTAGCTGTCATCCTGTTCTCCATCTGTGAGTCTGTCCCCATTTTCCTTGTGAATTCAGTTTGTTCACCAGATTCCACGTATGAGTGAAATTATAAAGTATTTGTCTTTCTCTTACAAGCTTATTTCACGTAGCATATTCTCCAGGTCCATCTATACTATTGCAAAGGGTAAAATTCTCTTCTTTTCTATGGCCCAGTAGTATTCCATTGTGTAAATGTCCCATAGTTGTTTTATCCACTCATCTACTGATGGACACTGGGGCTGCTTCCGTATCTTGGTGATTGTGAATAACATTGCAATGAACGTAGGAGTGCTTGTGTTTTTTCTAATTAGTGTTTTAAGTTCCTTGGCATATATTCTCAGAAGTGGGATCACTGGGTCAAAAAGCAGATTCATTTTTAACGTTTTGAGGCATGTCCATACTGCTTTCCACATTGGCTGCACCAGTCTGCATTCCCATCAACAGAGCAAAAGGGTTCCCCTTTCTCCACAACCTCACCAGCACTTGTTTGTTGATTGATTGATGACAGCCATTCTGACGGATGTGAGATGGTATCTCGTTGTGGTTTTAATTTGCATTTCTCTGATGATTAGTGACACTGAGCATTTTTTTCATGTCTATTGGCCATCTGTATGTCCTCTTTGGATAAGTGTCTATTCAAGGCCTTTGCCCTTTTTAAAATTGGATTATTTAGGGGTTTTTTTTTTGGCTTTTTTTTTCTGGTGTTGAGTTTTATATGTTCTTCATAAATGTTGGATATTAACCACTTATCGGATATATCAGTGAATATGTTCTCCCATTCTGTGAGCTGTCTTTTTATTTTATTGATTATTTCCTTTACTCTGCATAAACATTTGGGAATGACCAGATTAGAATGATTTGTAATTTGATTGCTCAATACTCCTATGTACACAAGTGCTTCTAACAGATTCATAAACACTTAAAATGAAGTGTTTATGAATCATCTGAAATTTTATTAATAATACTAAGTATTTTACTAGTCCCTGTTTTCATAGATAATATAGGCATATTTCTCACAAACCCTGACATAAAGTTTTTATCTTGGACATTAAAGGCAAACCTACTTAAAATTTCTATCTTTCTATGGCTATGACATTGTTGAACCAAAAAGCAGCCTACTTTTTTTGTTAGATTCAGAGTAACACATAGATTCTCTTTTATTAAAACTTTTTAATATTGAAGCTAATGAGAAAACTTGTAAGTTTAGCAAGAGTATGTCCAAGATTATCTGGGACAGTCACAGTTTTAATATTCTGACCCATAGTACACTTAGATCGGATGTGTTTTAAATTTCAGGTTAATAACAAACATCATTCTATTTACAGGTTTCAGTAAAAATGCATGTAACTGTATCATGAAAAGTTTCTAACTTATAAGATAGGAGAACTTTAAGTAAATTGTTTTTAAACTGGGAAAATGCTACCTAGTTTTGGCATCAGTACCAGACCACTAGAATCTTTGATAAATAGTGTTAATATCTCAGATTGACCACTTTACTATTTTTTAATTCCTGATATGACATTCATTTTCTGCCTCTTGAATAAGCTCAGTAAGAAAATAATTTCTATTTGGAAAAGATTTAAGGAAAACTGGATTGTTATTTTTTTTTATTAAGAAAGAGGCTATGCTGAATGTTAAGCAACTGCCATCCCAGGTTTCTTTTATCTGAGGTTTACCTTTATCCCGCTGGTCCCTGAGCTACACAATACTTCAGTCTTCATTCCCTAATGTTAATTTATATTTACTGTTGTGACTTACAAGCCCAGCAATCTTGGCTATGCCATTTTGGGAAAGGCCCCCGTAGAAGTATCATTATCTGCTTGGACTGCGTAGTTTCTTTCTGAAATGTAATCCAGCCTTCCTCCCAGATGCTTGCAGCCAAAAAGGACATATAGCCCCCTCATTACCATAGTCAGGACCATTCTGTTCCCAAGACAGCTAGGCATACCTGCCTTGAAGTATTTCACTCTATTGAAATCTGCCCCCATTATTTTGATGGGTGCATTTGATGGTCAGCCCTGATTGATCGCACCTAGAACTATTTTTCTGGAATATGAGTAGAAACTAAACCTCAATTCGTGGGGGGAAAAATCCTATGTCTTTTCTGTTCTTATTCTGCAATGTTGAAATTTCCTATTTGCATATTAAAACTCAATACTACTTAGCTTTAAAAATAATCTCTTTTGAAAACTCATTTAACCTAATGAATGATTCTTTTATCCATAGATTTCTCAAAGGATAGTTCTGTTTCCTGTTCTCTGCAAGGAGAAAATGAATGTCTTATTACCTTCCTAATAAGCACAGATAACGAAGGAAAAACCATCATTCACAGCATTAACGAGAAAGGTGAGTGGCATGCCTTCCATTGTCGACGGTAAGTAATAATACTACATGAGAGAGGAGAAAACCACCAGAAAGACACTTTGGAGGCTTGCCAGGAAAGACATTTCCAAATTTATGATGAGTGCCTCTACTTTCCCAATGACTGAAAGTTTTGATATGTTCCAATCTCTCTTTTTTTTTAATTAAATTTTTGGTGGTGACACTAGTTAGCAAAATTATACAGGTTTCAGTTGCACTATTTCACAATACATCATTTGTACACCGTGTTATGTGTTCACCACCCCAAGTCAAGTCTCCTTCCATCACCATTTATCCCCACTATATGCTCCCTGATCTCTCCTCACCCCTCTCTATCCAGCAATCACTATGCTATTGTCTGTGTCCATAAGTATTTTATCACTTTTATTTTTTGGTGCTCACTCCTTCCAGACCCCAGCTAGCCCCCAAATGCCCCCACCCACAGTTGTCAGCCTGCTATCAATAGGTCTATCTCTGTTTTGCTTGTTAGCTCATTTTGTTCATTATATTCCACATATGAGTGAAATCAATCATGTGTTATTTGTCTTTCTCTGACTGGCTTATTTCACTCAGCAAAATGCTCTCCAGGTCCTTCTATTGCAAAGGGTAATATTTCTTTCTTTTGGGGGATGGGGGTACTTGTCAACATTTTATAACTTCTAATAAAAATTATTGACTGATTTTAAAGAGATAGAGAAACAACAAGTTGTTGTTTCACTTACTTATGAATTCATTGGTTGTTTCTTATATCTGCCCTGACTGGGAATTGAAACTCCAACCTTTGTGTATGGGGGGCAATACTCTAACCAACTGAGCCACCTGGCCAGGGTTGAGTAGTATTCCACTGTGTAACTGTACCACAGCTTTTTTATGCACTCATGTCCTGATGGACACTTGTGCTGCTTCTAAATCTTGGCTATTGTAAATAACTCAGCTGAACATAGGGGTGCTTGTGTTCTTCAGAATTAGTGTTTTAGGGTTCTTTGGATATATTTCCAGAAGAGGAATTGCTGGACCATAAGACAGTTTCATTTTTTAATTTTTTGAGGTAATTCCATACTGCTTTCCACAGTGGCTGCACCAGTCTGCATTCTCACCAACAGTGCAAAGGGGTTCCCCTTTCTCCACACCCTTGTCAGCACTTGTTTTTTGTTAATTCACTGATGCCAGCCATACTGACAGGTGTGAGGTGATATCACATTGTGGTTTTAACTTGCATTTCTCTGATGATTAGTGACATTGAGCATCTCTTCCTATGTCTATTGGCCATCTGTATGTCCTTGTTGGACATATTCATTTGTCTATTCAGGTCCTTTGCCCATTTTTTAATTGGAGTGTTTGTTTTCTTGGTATTAAGTCTTGTAAGGTGTTTTTAAATTTTGGATATTAACCCCTTACCAGATGTACGGGCAAATATGTTCTCCCATTCTGTGGGTTGTCATTTCATTTTGTTGATGGTTTCCTTTGCTGTGTAAAACTTTTTAGTTTGATATAGTCCCATTTGTTTGTTTTTCTTTTGCTTCCCTTGCCTGAGGTAATATGTCAGAAAGAATATTGCTATGAGCAATGTCTGAAATTTTACTGCCTAAGTTTTCTACTAGGATTTTATGGTTTCAGGTTGAACTTTTAAGTCTTTAATCCATTTTGAATTCATTCTTGTGTGTGGTGTAAGAAGATGGTCAAGTTTCTTCTTTATTTTTCTTCTTGTATCTGTTCAGTCTTCCCAATACCATTATTAAATAGATTAGCTTTACCCCATTGTATGTTCTTGTCTCCTTTATCAAATATTAATTGACTATAAAGGTGTGGATTTATTTCTGGGTTCTCTATTCTGTTCCATTGATCTATATGTCTTTTTTATGCCAGTACCATGCTGTGCCTTGGGACTTTTGCTGTCCTGTCCCCGGTCCCGGCGTTGGTAAAAGTCAACTTTGATGCACAGTTTGGCCCTTCCCCTGCACACCAAGTCCCAGGATAGGCTGTCACAAACTGTGGATTGCTTGTAGCTCCAAACAGGTTGCTGAGAACAAGCCATAGTCAACATCTACATCGTCTTGCACCAGAGTCCTTCCCAAGAGGCCCAGAATGAATACACCCAGTGGCCAGCTTTAGACAACATCAGAGTAGGACCCAATAAGTGTTTATAAAATTTAGAACATTAATTTTAAATTTTAAAGCAAGTTCACAAGCGGCATACCCAAAGGACAATTTTGGCAGGCACCAGACCTTCATAAGGCAAATTCCACTTCATAAGGACCACTTCATGTGGTCCACATTTACATGGCAGCTCACACGCCATGGTTTGGATTGAGCCTAACAGTTAGCCAGCCTGGGGGTTGACCCTATGCATGAATGGGCCAATAGTAATCAAGGCTCAGTTACAACAGGAAGGCCCACATAACCCACACAAGGAACATTCTTAGAGCACCCAGCTCAGGTGATCAAGGAGACTGCACCACTGCACCCCACATGATACCTAGTACATAAGTCCACCCCATGAAGACTGGGAGTCATAGCAGATCTGTCTAATACTTAGGAACAAACGCAAAGAGTCAGCCAAAATGGGGAGACAAAAATATAGCCCCAAGTGAAAAAAACAGCAGGAGAAATCTGTAGAAAAAGAGCTAAATGAAATGGAAGCAAGCAATTTATCAAATATAAAGTTCAAAGTAATGGTTATGAGGATGCTCAACAGCATGTAAAAGGATATAGAAGGTATAAAAGAGGACCAGTCAGAAATGAAGAATACACTGGAAGGAATAAACAGTAGATTGGATGAAGCAGAGGACTGAATCAGCAATTTGAAAGACAAGGTAGCATAAAACACCAAATCAGAGCAGCAAATAGAAAAAAGAATTTAAAAAATGAGAATTGTTCAAGGGAACCTTTGGGGCAACATGAAGCATAATAACATCCTCATTATAGAAGTACCAGAAGGAGAAGAGAGAGGGCAAGGAATCAATAACCTATTTGAAGAAATAATGACTAAAAAGCAGAATGGCAGCTAGGTAAAAGGGGATGTTAGCGGGTAGAGGGATTAAGCAAAAGGGAAAAAGTACTCATGGACATGGACGACTATGTGGTAATTGATAGGGGTGGGGTATGAGGAGACCAAAAGGGAATGAAAAAAATTCCAATAAAGATTAAATAAAAGAAAAATAATGTCCGAAAACTTCCCTAACCTAGTAAAGGAAAAAGACACCCAATTCTAGGAAGTACAGAGTCCCAAACAAGATGAACACAAAGAGGCCCGCACCAAGACATATCATAATTGAAATGGCAAAGGTTAAAGACAAAGAGAGAATCTTAAAAGCCACAAGAGAAAAACAGTTACCTACAAGGGAGCTCCTATAAGACTGTCAGCTGATTTCTCAACAGAAACATTCCAGGGCATTGGCATGAAATATTCAAAGAGATACAAATCATGGACCTGTAACTAAGACTACTTTACCTAATAAGGCTATCATTTAAAATTAAAGGAGAAATAAAGAGCTTCCCAGACAAGAAAAACCTGAAGGAGTTTGTTACGTCCAATATCTTTTATTAAGGCCAGATAACAATATGGATGTATTTGTACCAATCATCCTCTCCCAGAAAACTTGCTGGTGAATTATAGAAATGTGAAGTTCAATGTAAGCAAAAGGTATATATTTAGAAAAGACTAACAAGAAGGAGCATAACAGTCTGCAAGGATGAGTTCTGAGGCAAAGCTCAAATCTTGCTCTACCACTGAATAGCTGCTTGACCTTCTGGCAGATAGGTGCCTCTCTGAGTCTCTATTTCCTCATCCGTAAAGTGGGAAAAAGAATAATACTTTCTAATAAGGATTGACTCAAGGGTTAAATGGAGTATGCATATAAAACATATACCAGTTCATAACTTAGTCATGGGTCATTAAATGATATTGCTGAATTGAAAAAGACATGAAGCAGAAAATGAGGAAGGAAGTGATCTGCGGGCATTGCTTCTGCAGCTTTTCATCTGCACCAGCTCATGGAGTCAGCTTGGGACTCAGTAAGCCATCAAGTAAAAGTGACCTCTTCAGTGAAGAGGAGAGAGAAGTTTATATTAGAAGTTTACATAGAGAAAATAGAACAGTGGGAAAGGTACTTTTGTTGAAAAGTTCTTAAACTTTAGTGAGAATGAGACTCACCTGGGAGGCAGGTGCTAGCCTGCATTCTGAATCAGCAGGCCTAAAGTGCAGCTCAGGCAACTCTGACACCAATAGCTTCAAGACCTCCTTTGAGCGACTGTACCCTAACAGCCCTGGCCTCACTCTTTGATACTCACAGGTGCCTTGCCTTTTCTATCTTCAGTTAAGAATGTGTCGTAACCTTTCCCAGCAGAAATGATGGCTGCATTAAATTATACTTTTCTAGACATCAACCTCCTTCTCCTCCCCCATAAAGCTCAGAGCCTAAGTTCTGGCTCCAGACAATAGCAGCAAGGGAAGGCTAGAAGGCACACATGCTTTGTTGTGCGTGCTTGCTCATCAGTGTCCTAAGAAAATATTTTCCTGAATTCGAAACCAAGAGTATCAAACTGCCATCACCTCCCAGTGTAAAAACCAAAGCATCCCAAAGTAACCAAAAGGTAAGTTAAAGACACTGCAAACCAACCAAGAGAACATTATTAGAAAAACATTACATTGCAGGGCTAAGGGTCAGGGAGTGGTGGAGGTGGTCACAATGTAAGATGCAAGGCCATGACCTTGAAGCTCAGGTGAGCAGATCATACCTAGAGACTTGTTCTTGAGAATCTCATTTAAATCAACTTCTTTCAAATCAATGTATAAAATGCATCACAGAGGCCATTAGTTAAGAAAAGTTAAGGCAAATCCTGCTTTACAAGGAATAATTTCTTTTTGGCACACACAAAAAAATCCTGCTTTCTCATTGTCTGTTTTATAAAGTCAAATTCTTCAGCTTATACCCTCATCCTGTGTTTGTTACCATGGCAGGGGCCTTGGCAAGTTTTTCTGAAATCAAAACCATTCCTTATAATATTAATTTTATTGGAAAAACAAGTTCCAAAAAACAAATTTCCAGAATAGGGTCTGTTTTTAATTCATGGTATTTGTACATAGCTGGTTTCATTTTTATGTTATTTATTTCTGTATGTGTGTGTATGTGTGTGTGTGTGTGTGTGTGTGAGAGAGAGAGAGAGAGAGAGAGAGAGAGAGAGAGAGAGAGAAAGACATCTTTGGCTGTTAAATGCCTCTTCAGTACTGAACTGTTGGATTTTTGTCTTTTATTCTTCCACACAACACAAGTGGCATATCAAAATGCCATCTTTCCAAGAGCACTCAGATGCCCTAATGCCTTTTTATTCTACCTGTGCTTTTTTTTTTGTAGTAGGGAAAAGTGAGGAACAAGTTACCTTCTTGAGGCTTAACAGGAGTCATCTGACAGCTCCAAGGCGGCTGCCTTCCTGGCAAGTGCTGCCGTTCCCACGCAGGCCGGAGCTCCCAGGGCCTGAGGGCAGAATCAGGAGTCCATAGTTGCCTCTCACAGCTTAAAGACTGGAGACTCCCGGGGTCACTAGTGGGAGGACTGGATAGAAAAGAGGCAAAATGGAAAAGGAGGAGGTGGAGCTTAAGAATTCCCAGGGTCCTCCAAACAAATTGAAAAAGCGAAGGGTCATCAGGGGTAGGGATAGGTTTACTCACCTTTTTTTTATTACATTTGGGAAAACTTTCAGAGTATAAGAGCTGCAATCATAAGGGTGCAGTTAAGAATGAAAGTTGGGCCCTGGCTGGTGTAGCTCAGTGGGTCGACTGCTGACCTGCAAACCAAAAGGTTGCTGGTTTGACTCCCAGTCTAGGGCACGTGCCTGGGTTGCGCCCAGGTCCCTGGTGGGGGGCACATGAGAGACAACTGCACATGGATGTTTCTCTCCCTCTCCTCCCTCCCTTTCTGTCTCTAAAAATAAATAAATAAAATCTTTAAAACAAAGAATAAAAGTTGGGGAGCCTTCCTGGCATGGATGTGTATGTGGATGCTACACCCATGACTTCCAGCTTGGAGGTTCCAAGCCCTTGAGGTCTTGAGGTTAGAAAAGGGAGTAGAGTGAATTTGTTGTAGTAGTAGTAGTAGTATTTTAGATGCTTTGCATGCATTAGTTCATTTAATACCCTCAATGGCCCTGTAAAGAAGGTATTGTTATTATTTCCACTCTACAGGTAATGAAATTGAGGCATAGAGAGTTTAAATAATTTGCTAGGTTTAATGCTGCAATTATGTCCCAGTGCTGGTTATGGAACTGGAGAGCTACTTTGAATCCATGCTGTTAACTACTGGGCTATACTGCCTCCTACTGGCTGTACAATCATAAATATTTGAATCCCCCAAATACTATCAGTATCTTATATTAGCATGTTAGATCAGTATGTTAGATCAGATGGAAATGTTAATACAAACCATATATATAATTTTAAATTTTCAACTCCCTGCATGAAAATGTTAAAAAGGTGAATTTTAATAATGTTTTATTTAATCTACTATATCCAAAATATTGTCATTTCAATGTATAATCAATATAAAAACTTATTGATAAGAGGGTTTACATTTTTTCATAACAAGTCTTCAAAATTAGTGTATATTTTGCATTTAGCACACAATACAGTTCAGAAAAGTCACATGTCTAGTGTTCAATAGCCACATGTGGCAGATACCAGACTGGCAGCATTAAAAAATCAGGACCTTAGAATTAGGTGAGCACTTACCAGGATTTTCTATCTTGTAATACCTGATTTGGTACTTGGGCCAAGATCCTGTCTGGAGAAATGTATAATTCCCAATGACTCTAAATTCTTAAAATAATTATCTCTGCCAAGCCATGCCTGCTCCTCCTTTTTTATTCCCTAGTGGAGAGCCTTCCTAATTCACGTTCTGGCTCATGGCCCTAACTCACCTTGCTTTAAGCAAAGAGCATGCTATGCCCTTCCCCAGACAGTTTGTGGTCGAAGATGTAGCCAGTATATATCCTCATTGACAGGAACCCTCTGCTTTCTTTGCAGCAGTGTTGCTAACCTATTAGAAGCAGCTATGGTTCATTTGCTATGCTAGAAACAGTCTTTAGATCTTCATACTGTAGTTGCTATTTCATTAGCTCCTTTACTTCTTTCTGCATAATCTCCTTACATGGTATTTTTGCCAAGAAACAAAGGTGGGTGAGACCAGGCATCACACTGTTAGGAGGTCATTAGTCCTGCTCACATTCAGATCAGCAATAGATTCTTACCTTGAAAGTAGCCTGAGTAGTCCTGGGTCTATAATTCTCCTTGTTAAATATCCAAAAGCACTAAGAGTTAAAGTAAAGTAAGCATGATTTATTTTTCTCCCCAGATATCATGGATTTGAGTTACTTCTTGCAGAGGGAAGCAGATATTTAATGATAATTTTTATATGAAATTTTCCTCAGGAAAGCAAGGGAAGAGCTAATTATAACGTTTCATTAAAAAATGTATCATCTCCCAGGCATATTGCAAGGATTATTACTCATTCTCTTGTCTATGATTGCAAAATTACATTAATATCAATAGTCAAAATAACATTTCATAGAATGTTCAAGTTAAACAGACAATACAAAACACCTAATTCCCCAAACTTCCCTGAATATAACAATCCCTTGGGGTACTTTGACTAATAAAAAATCGGTGACCCACTGAATCAGACTCTTGGGAAAGAGGTCTAGGAAGCTGTGGGTTGCATAAGCATGAGCCCCCAGCTTAATCTTATTGCCGGAAAGTTAAGGACACGCCGAAGCCCCACACCTTTGTTTTACGAATGAGGGGCCTGGGCCTCAGAGAGATCGAAGGACTTGATGGGTTTAGACAGTTGCTGTACATCATATGGGAATGGAACCCACATTTCCTGACTCCAGCCCAGGAATGTTCCAGGACCTCGGCATTAGAGGTACAATAAAACTGAAAGCCATGATTCTCTTCTGTCCATTAAAAAATAATAAACAAACAAACAAATAAGCAGCAGCTTATTTATTTAAGTAACTTTTTCAGGGGGCAGGTTTTATATAATTTTGAATATAATCTCTTAGACAGTTTCAAAACAATCCATTAAATAGTGTGTGTGTGCACACTTATCTGTTTCCACTTCATCATACACCCAGAAAAGACCATCTTTAGTGACTAAACTACAGTCTTGTCTATGGCCCTTTAGATATTCCATGTGTATTAATTTTCACTCTTTTGCACTCTAAATCTTTTTGAGTCATTCATTCAAGGGGATATCCAATTTGCTTTAAATAACCGAACTCTTACTTTATCATCTGTTCTACTTTGAAAAAACAGGGCTATCCCACAACAAGTAACTCATTTTTTAAAAATCAGCAAAACAAAAGATGTTACTGTTTTCCCTCTACTGGAGAAAAACCATAGTTGGAAAATTTAATGAGAAATGCTCATTGAAATGTTAATTGTATCATGATTTTAATACAACTTTCTTTGCTTCCAGAGTGTCCAAAACCTCCAAACATCCCCATGATCATGCTGGGTGTCTCACTGGCTATTCTGCTCATTGGGGTTGTCCTACTGTGCATCTGGAAGCTGCTTGTGTCATTTCATGATCGGAAGGAAGTTGCCAAATTTGAAGCAGAAAGGTCAAAAGCCAAGTGGCAAACGGTATGTGAACTCTTAGGGGTGACTTTGTGTCTAGAGGAAAAAGTGCCTTGTAGAAGAAGCGGAAAGTCAGCTTTCTTCTTCTCTAAGAGCGAGTTAGAATGTCATGTTCTTACTCTGCTGCTCTCACCAGATCCCCAAGAGCTTTGATTTCTGCTTTTGTCTGTTACTTGGGTCCCGGGTAGCCCTCACAGCTCACATTTGTCTCTCAGCACAATGAGGGGGTTTGCCCCATTCTAGAGTCTCATGAAACTTTTTGGTTAGTTACTTAGGGACATCAGGGGCATGTATTTTATTTCTCACCACCAGGAGGACCCCTCAGGCCCTGTTGATAAGCTATAAACATTTATGTTATAGATAATGGAATAAGGTCCATGAGTACTAGACAGTTCATGCCAATTACCATGGAAATAGGTATTACTCATACTAGATTACAAAGCACAGTTGAGAAGAGTTTTAAAATGACATCCAGTTTTTCTGAATAGCATACATTTCAAATAGCTACCTAAAAAAAACCCCAAAGGTATCAACCTTTAAATACGTGTACTCAACAAATATAATTTATGTGTCTCCTCTTTAAAGTAAGCAAACACAAAACAGGACTCTAATATTCTGTGTCTCTTTTCTGCAGGAGAGACAGTTACATTTGTAGAGGCCCATAGAAACAATTTCATGGTTTTAATTTCATCTCTCTATCTCTAATCGTGCATCCAGCTAGCTAATAGCATTTATCCTAAATTGCTGATTCTAAAACAAGCAATATCACAGGAGAAAATACAAGGAAACACAATGGTCCTTTGGGGTTTACTGCCCGAATATATGGATGATAACATTTTTTTCTCTGTCTTCAGTGATATCTTCAATTCCTAAAGCAAATGGAATTTTCTGTTTTGGATAAATTTACCTTGATAAGGGATGCTTATGTCTTATATAGCTCTTTTGAAATAATCATATATATGGTACAGGACAAAGGACAATAAAAACTTTCATCTCCTCTGTCTTCCCACTAAAGATACCTCCAGACACAACAACCAGATACAATGTGTGGATCTACTGTTGATCCTGATTTGAAGAGCCAAAAAAAGTACATTTTTTTAACAACTGGAAAAAGGTTAATGTAGACTGGGTATTAAAATTATGGCAATGTATTATGGTTAATTTAATTAGGTGTATAATGTTATGATAGCTTTGTTTAAAAATCCATATTTGGGGGTGAAAGAAAACTAAGGCTGAGTCTCATTTGAAATCATTCAGCCAAAAAAGAGACAGCAATAGGTAAAGTAAGTGTGGCAAAATTGTAATAATTATTGAATCTGGGTGATAGGTCTACAGAGGTTCATTAGACAGCTTTTCTCTTTTTTGTGTATGTACAGGTTTTTTATAATTTAAAAAAATGCTTTAGGAAAGTCTATTGTGGATTTGCATTAAGTATATAAGTTATTCATCCCTAACAAGGTCACACGTAACTTGACAGGTTAGTCTGGCGACTTAGAACACAGAGTCAGGAGGCCAAAGTGCTGAGCAGTCAGTTTTACCTGATCCCTGGCCATGGCTGTTGCAGCTCTCACCAGCTGTCAAGCACATGCCTGGCCGTGGTCAGAAGGGTGACCAGGCAAAAGAATATGGTTAAGCTGGCACAAAAAACCCCACTAGCAGAAGTTGGTTGAACGACCACCAGCCCTCTGAAGTCGCCTTGGTTGTCACAATATGAGTGGAAGGAAACGGAGGGTCTGAGGAGTCAGATTTCTCACCCTGTTGGTCCACGGGGGAACTGCAGTCCCCGCTGCAGCCTCTTCTTCCAAGCACAGCCTTGACCCTCCTAGAAATAGCGAGCAGGTGTTCCACAAACAAGCACTCGGGCAATTATGTGATGTGTATCTACCAACCAGCACATTTTAATGTTCTCATACAAAAACATGATTACTGACTAGTGATTAATATCTTTAAAATAACATTTTAATTAACAGTTAATTTCTCTAAAACATGAAGAATGGTTTCCCTCAGGATGTAGAACATGACTGAAATTCAAATACTAAATTTTTGCTGTTTCTACATCTAAAATGGAATAAAAATATGCATTAAACAGATAAAAGCATGAATGAAAAATGATATTCTCTTGTTAAACTGAGTCTCTTTGAATAACAAATGTTTGATGTTCTCGACTAGATAATGACTGGGTAATAACTATTCACTTGGATGCAAAAGAGGTTTAATTCAAATAATTGAATTCAAATTTCACTAATATAGCTTATTTTAAAATGTTGCTCAGTGTATCCATTTTGAGGTCTTCAACTTGATTCTGTTTTTACCTAAAATCTATTTCTTCTTGAAGAACTGAATTCGACTGGACTTTAAAACACAAGAGACCTCTACAGATGGTAGCGGTAGAAGGGTCTCCCCGCCCATGGGTCTCTGTTGGATTCCAAAGGTGACAGAGCTGAGGGTGAAAGAGTTTCATTCTTGCCTCCTAAAACATTTCCTCATAGCCATAAAGAAAGGTCGCCCTTTATTACTTAAAAAAATAATCTCCCCATCCACATTCGTTACGAAAACTGAAAGGGAAGATATTTAAATGCATTTTTGATTAGGCATTTTTTCTAGGATGACAAGTCATTACGTAGAGGCAAAAAATGTTCACTCTGACATTTCTAACAGTCACGGATTGATTTTGGACTGTGCTGAGCAAACCAGGTCTGCATCGGGCAGTTAGGCAATCATTAAGTGAGCTGCAGGTCAGGACAGAGCTTCCTTATCACCACTTTTTCAAGCTCTAAAAATGTGCCATTGCATTTGCAGAATCCTCCACCTACATTGGTACCCCCAGTTCCCTGGGGGAATTAGCTTGGTTACCCCAGATGGTTGGGGAAAACCCAACCTTGTCTAAACAGTGAAGGAGCGTAGACAGACCTGAAATGGAGTTGGACACAAGCCAGCGCCTGAGCTGAAAATCCTCTGTGGGAGGATGCCACCTACATGGCACAGAGGAGACAGTATCAGACATTGTGACACTTGCCACTGTCAACAAAGCCCACTTTGAGCTCAGTCTCCTGAGCTCTGATCATCAAATACTTCTGCCACTCCCCAGTATATACTTACCCTCCTAGTACAGTGGGGTCTGCTTTATCCATTACCCTCTATTAGCATGCCCAGGCCCTATAACTAGCTTTGCAAGACACCCCCAAAATATTGTAGGCCTAAATAAATGAAGTTGCTTTGAAATACAGGATGCAAGCCACAATAATCAAAATTAAACACTCAACTAAATGTCTACAAAATAACATAGTGCAATCGATCGGTCAATTGCAACTTAAGTCACCTCCTTTATAGTGCACGTAAGTGATATTTAGAGTAAGATGGAGGTGGATTTTACTATGTTTAACGTGAAGTGGGATGAGGCTTAGAAAAGAGTTCCTGGCCCTATGCAGGCAGATGTAAGCTGGCCCTCATCACAGCCGTTTACACTGAATTTCAGGGTGTCTTGTTTGTTCCCTAAGCCACCCTCTTCCTCTGGGACAGTGGCCCTATTCATTATCCTCACCCTGCACTTATTTTTTTCCATCTATCCTCTCCAACTGAGTGCCTTATTCTTCTGTAACCGACTTAAATTTAATAGCATAGAGTCTCTTAAACAATATAATTCCATATATGATTTTTGTTTGCAAATAATACTCTACCTGCATCTATGACCCCCTCAGTATGCCCTTCACCCTTCAAACCCCAGGTTCTCATGACAGCAGGACTAAATAAGTACTGGAGGGCTGTCAGGATTATGCGGGCTGACCTCAGGAGTATAGACAATGCAGTAATTTGGCCTTCACTCATTATCCACCACCAAGGAGCCTCTTTTCCATTGGGCCTCAGGCTGAGATAGCATCTCTCTCCAGAGGCACGTGAAGAAAGATATTGTGTTACTCAGTCTGAGGTCAGGCCACTGGCTCTATGAAACATAGAAACAGGTGCAGATGTCATTTCTCCTCAAAGTGAAGATACTGTGGTGAATCCAAGGGCAACAGGTGGGAAAGGCCAGGGAATGGCTTTAATTTAATTCAGGTTTCCTGAGAGATGAGAGAAATGTGCTGAGGAAGCCAATACAATCATGTATATTTTCAGACCCATGCTTAGAAATCGCTACTATCTCTACAATTCATGGAAGAAGGAGACCAATGTACAAGATTTAGTACTTTGGAGGGTCTGAGGTATTATATAGACTCCATGCATACTGAGAAATAGGCTTGGAAATGTTAATAGTACAAAAGCTGGAGGTAAATATCTTTATTATACTCTCCAGGACATAAAAGAAAAGGAAGTTCCCAATATGAAGATGAGCTAGAAGTAAGAGCCAGTAAAAGGAGGCAGTATTGAAAACTGACTAAGTGCCAGGCACTGTGCTAAAGTACATTACCTTGTAGAGAAGGTGGGCACCTTGGTGGTCCCTCTTATAGATGAGGACACGGAAGTCTGGAGTTACTTAAGTCACAGAGCATAGTGCTACTGCGTGTCTAACACCAAAGCATCTATGGTCAACCTTGGGAAAAGGGAGAGAAGAAACTGTGTCTTACCCAGATGTTTTGTGCCTGCCTGGAAGTTAAACCAAAGGAGAGAAATAGAAGGATCAAGCTTGGCACCTCTCCAAACACATAGAGAGCCTTGGTCCTTCTGCAAACACATCTACAGCCCGAGCACGCAGCGGAATTATCCAGGCATCAGCACACAACCTCCACACCACCCCAAGGGCAAAGCCATCTTGCCCCACCTTCCCTGGGACCTGTGCTCCTTCATGAGCCCAGTGTACCAAGCACCAGATTCTTGTGACTCTCTGATTCACACACTAGTAAGCAAAAGCCACCAAGTTCTCTTACCATCCAGAGCAAGTGTTCATTTTTCCTGTTTCTCCAAAGCAGCTATTTGATCCTCTCTCTGAATTTTTTTTCTTTTCTTTTTTTTTTACCTCCCTCCCATTTTCACCCCCCATAGCTGTTGTCCATGTGTCCTTTATACTAGCTCCTCTAAGTCCCTCCCCTTTTCCCCCCTGAAATTCCCTCCCCTCTCCCCTCTGGTCTAACGGGGGGACAGTGAATTTTGATCTCATATTTAGCAAAATTATTTGTGCCATTGTTAAGTGCCTCTCAACAGAAATGTGTTTCTTAAAGGCATGTACTACTGTGTCATTTGTCTTTGTATGCTTCTACTTGTTCACTTTTCCTGTTTTTTACTTTTTTATTTTACATTTCACTTTTAAGTTACCTATTGGTTCATTCTATTCATCCACTAAATAACTGAGTGCCTACTATGGGCTAAGCACTGTTTTTAGTGCTGGTAAAATAACAGTGAATTAAAAAGCTAAAGTCTTGTTTTCTGTCAATAAATTAGTACATTTCCAAAAAGGTTAACATACGGGACTAGTTCTGCATTACCAAAAAAACAAAATGAGGATGTATAAACTTCAAAGTACTAACAGTCTGACATCAAATTAATCAAAGTTATTCAAATGGCTTTCAAGACTGACTCTCTTCATCTGATTGGTAATGTACCATGAAATTTAGATATTTTAAAACAGTGTAATAACTAAATGTACATAATTTCATTTGAACCTCTTTTTTTTTACTTTTTAGGGAACCAATCCACTGTACAGAGGCTCCACCAGCACCTTTAAAAATGTAACCTACAAACACAGAGAAAAACAAAAGGTGGACCTTTTCACAGATGGATAGAACTACTTTACGCATGGAAAAAAGTCTGTTTTGCTGATATGAAATGTTAATGTACTATTTAATTTTTATTTCTTTGTTGCTTCAAAATGAGGTTGGTTTAAGATAATAATAGGTCATTTGGAGATCAGTCATTCTCTTTAGGAAGGTTAGAGACTATGTTGGCAGGTTCAAAATAATCAAGAAGAGAAATATGCTTAGCAAAGGGGTGACTTCGGGGATTATTTGAGGTACTCTAATTCTGTTGCATTAATGCCTCAAAATAATCATCAAAATTATTTGTTGGGGCCTGATTTGCATTGGAAAACTGTTTGAAATTACGGTCTCATTTGTTGCTGAAACACCTGAAGTCTTTGTCTCAGCAAAGTCATGAGTCCATACGCTCACATTAAATTCTCACACTTGCCGATTTATTCCAAACTTCTAGTAAAAATGCCCTTTATTAAAGGATGATTTTTTTTTTAGTTTACGGAAAGTGAGGTTCTGATTTTACTTCAGCTGAAAGAATGCAGCTCTTCTAAAGATGTCCCAAATGTAAGAATAAAAATGAAGTATTGATTTCTATGGCTTTGTCTGAACCTAAAATTCAGGCACACAAATAAGTATAGCTTGTTTTACAGATGAAGAAGAAGTTATTTATAAAGTAGAAAGTCACCAGTAAAAAATAAAAATAACAAGCCTATCATGTAGATTATTTTTGATTACCCAAAATATGCCTCTATACTCCTTTCCCCCTGATTCTGAATTTTTAAATTATAGCTTCTCCCATATTTCTCGATCCATTTTACTTAGTTTCACAGTCTAGCCCCTATTATTATCATGTGAAAGTTTTAATTTCTTGTTAAAGAATCACTTTAAGTGGTTAGTTTATTTAAGAAGAGCTCCAATATTATAAAAAGAAACAAAATTTTAAGTGGTTTCTAATCAAGCACATCAAGAGTACAAAAGTTCCTCACGAGTAATAGGCTTTTTGACCTATATTCTTTTCCTGTGTATATAACCTAACTTGACATTTCAGCAGCATATGGTAAATATGTGTCATATATTAATTTTAAAAAGTAAGATTTTACTTGCAAAATACATATGGATCATTAGGAATCCATAGACTAAAGAAATGAACTCTGTAGAATAATATTTCTTAAAGTAAATACTACTTTACAAAGCACTTTCTTCTCCTTCAATGCTTGTAAGGAATCTAGGGTTCAGAGGGTAAGTAGAAGTGGTCCAGAATCTAGATCGTCTAGCTCCAAACCATGTTGTCTCCCCACAGCACAAGGCTGGCTCCTTTGTGAGTAGATGATACAAAGATTTTGTGAGTTAAGCAGTAACTATCATTTGCTTGACTGAACATATAGCATTTAGACTACTGGAATACAGGCAAAATCTTGTACTTGTGTGCCATGATTATTACCTTTGAGTAAATTGTAATGTAATGACTTTTACTAGGTGAGGAGTTGACTTTGTGATAGAGGCTTCATGCTTATCCACTGCATTGGCACAGAGTAATCTATGATAAGTTCATCAGTCTTATAGACCTTAATCACTTGTAGATCCTTTTTTCTGGTTTCTCAATAACTCAGGTAAATCAAACACTTGTGGAGGACACAGCTATATTAAAAGAATTACTAAGCAATCACCTTGGAAACCTGAGGGGCTGACATACTCTCTACTTCCTTACTGAAGCCCAAGTTCTGGGGAAAATCAAGAGCAACAAGGAGGTTGCAATTCTGATGACACAACAGTAGTATTCACCTTGACATATGATATTGTGTATTATTACTGGAATAGGATCTTAGAAAATATAAGTTTTCCTCTTGTGTATATATAGAGAAGAATTTGCTATTTGTCTAAATATGGTTTTGACCCAAGGCTGGACCTTGAAAAGGCCAAAACATTAACAGTAGTACTTCTGTTCACTGAAGAGTTATGTTACATGAAGATAAAATGGGTTTTGTAAGTTGTTTTATTGTATTTCGTGTTGACATAAATAAACATGGTAATTTAAGCAATGAGCCTTAGATGGGTGATAATTCCTTTTATTTACTTGGTACAAAACCCTCTTCTTGGATTTCTGGATCCCTGTGTGACCTGCTCTGACCACCTTGCTGCTCTCAGTCTGGGGCCAAGGAGAAGAGCAGAAAGAGGCAGCCCCAGAACGCAAGAGACAGCAGAAAATGAGCTGTAATTTGCTGTATGGTTATAATACCCACATTACGAAGCCTTTTAAAACAGACCTGGACATTACCCCATATTTTGTGAAAACAGTGTTTTGGGTTGAATTGTGGTTCCACCCTGAAATTCATGTACTGAAGTCCTAACCCCCAGTACCTCAGGATATGGCTGCATTTGGAGATAAGGTATTTAAAGAGGTAATTAAGTTAAAATGAGCTCATTAGATTGGTCCCTAACCCATTATGGTTGGTACCCTTATAGAAAGAAATTAGAACATAAACACATGGAGAGAGGGAAGACCATGTAGAGACATAGCGAGAAGACAGCCAATGACAAGCCAAGGGAAGAGGCCTCAGCAGAAGCCGACACTTCCAATACCTTGATCTGGGATTTCCAGTGTCTGGAATTGTAAGAAACTAAATTTCTGTTGTTTAAGCCACATAGTCTGTGGCACTTTGCATAGCAGCCCCAGGGGTTGGGTGGCCACAGCAAGTTCTGTGCCCAAGTCCAGAGTGGTGGCTGGATCTGGGTTATAAACACATATTTTAGCCCTGGCTGGTGTGGCTCAGTGGACTGAGTGCTGACCTAAGAACCAAAATGTTGCCAGTCAAGGCACATGCCTGGGTTGCATGCCAGGTCCCCGGTTTTGGGCCAGGGCACGCGAGAGGCAACCAATCGATGTTTCTCTGCAGACTGGAAGGTTGATTCCCAGTCAGGGCCTGTGCCTGGGTTGTGCCAGGGTGGGTGCCATGGGAGAAACAACTGAGAGATGTTTCTTTCCCTTCCTCCTCTCCCTCCCTTCTCCTCTCTCCAAAAATAAATAAATAAAATCTAAAAAGAAAGACTTTGGGGTACGACTATGTATGGGTGTTACTGAGAATGAGCTATATGGGATGGGGGTGGTTGGCTATTCATTCAAATGTTCTCCTTCGTGCCTGCACCCTGAGGCCTTCAAAACAAGAGTGAGAAGGCCAAGCTCCATGGGGGTTTCATCTGAGTGTCCACATGGTAGATTAAACTTGGTCTGGATTCCCCTTTAAGATTCTTCAACACCAAAAATAGTTGTGCCCTGAAATACTCGTGTGGAACCACCCAAATGGCAGATTCCGAATCCTCCCAAAGCAGCTCAGAGTTCTCCAATTTGCTCCCTCCTTCACCTTTCCACACCCATTCCTTCTAATACTTCTTGAAGGGACATGGTATTTGAGCAGCAATCTCACCAATAATAATTTTTTAACTATAAGAGAAAGCTGACCTCCCAAAAGAGCAAACTTATTTAAATGTTCATGCTTCATTATGGTTTTATATCCTCCTCATCTTATGGGAATATAAATGGGGAAAAATCCTTTTTCAAAGGGAATGAGAAACAGATTGGATTAAATATGATAAATAAAAATGTTCACTTCTGTTAAATTTCATTACAGTGCAACAGACTGGAGCCCATACAGCTAAAAAGCAAAAACAAAAATAACAACAAAAACACCTTAACTGTCCAATGGCTCTTTAAAGAGGTCAGGATATTGGAGTTTGGACTTCAGGCTAGTGCTCTAGCACTACATGCCTGCAGTTCTGGGCGAGGCCGCTGCACCCAGGAGGGTGGGCACGCAACTCGGGCCAAAACACTAATTCTTTGGGCTTTGGATCCTGGGGTGTTAAACACTGCTTCTCTATGCTTTGGAGACATCTAAAAGTGAATCACCATAGGCTGAGCGAAGGTAGAACATGTGATCTGTTCTCTCCCACTTGGCTGCACAACCAATAAAGAGAGAGCAGCATGGGCACCCCAGAAGTTTTTCATCACATAAGCTTGTCCTGGAGCCAGGTTCTAGGAGAAATTGGGTACCAGAAAATGCAGACTCTACCCACACACATCACCTAGAGCCATTAATAACTTCAAGACTTTGCAAGTGGTTCTAGCTCCATTTGAAATTTTAATTTGACCTTTGTAATTCCTAGGTATATGTTACTGCTTCAATAATATTCGCTCTTTCAGCCAGCGGTGTATTTATATTCATGGTCTTTGCATAACAGCCAATCCTGTTCCAAGTCAACATCTAAAGATAGTACAACACACCCTGGCTGGTGTCACTCAGTGGATTGTGCCACAGTCTGAACCAAAAGGTCACCAGTTTGATTCTCAGACAGGGCACATGCCTGGGTTGCAGGCCAGTCCCCAGTTGAGGGCTAGGGGTGGGTGAGAGAGGCAGCCAGTTGATATTTCTCTTCCTTTCTCCCTCCCTTCTCCTCTGTCTAAAAATACACACACAAATTATTTAAAAAAGGATAATCTTTTTAAAAAGATTTTATGATTTTTAAAGATTAAAGAATAAAGATAGTATATCATGATACTTTATTGTTTGTCAATAACTTACTGAGTCACACATCACTGTATTCATTTTTTTCATCTAATTGGCTTTGTTATACTTCGTACAGTTATGTATTGAGCACCCACAAGCACACACTCATATTCCTTGTTTTAACGTGTATATTACTAGATTTATTTCCATCTATTACTTGTTATTTATTTGTATCTATTACTATGAAATAAATGTATCTTTTTATATACATGTATTTATTTTACTGGCATTAAATAGCTTACATTGTTAGTAAAAATAGGTAATACCTATTGTTCCAAGTATTTTATATAATCTAACGCATTTAGAGCTCACAACCATCCAGTGGGATGGCATTATTATCTCCTGTTTTACAGATGAGAAGACTAAGGCACAGAAGTGTTAGTAACTTGTCCTAATCACACACCTAGCATCATTTGAAAGATCCATTTTGTTTTTATTTCTGTGTGGCATAAGAAGGTGGTCTAGTTTCATTTTTCTGCGTGTATCTGTCCATTTCCCAACACTATTTATTGAATAAACTATCTTTAGCCCATTGTGTGTGCCTGCTTTCTCTGTCAAATATTAATTGATTATAACGGTGTGGATCTATTTCTGGGCTCTCTATTCCGTTCCACTGATCCATATGTCTGCTTTTATGCCAGTACCATGCTGTTTTGATTACTATGACCTTGTAGTAGAGTTTGATATTGGGTAGTGTGAGTCCTCCAACTTTGTTCTTCTTTCTCAGGATCATTTTGTGGTTCCATGTAAATTTTTGAAATATTTGTTCTAGTTCTGTGAAATACATAATTGGAATAGTGATAGGAATTGTATTGAATCAATAGATTGCTTTGGGGAATATGAACATTTTAATGCTAACAATTCTTCCAATCCATGAACACGGTATGAACTTCCACATATTTGTATCTTCTTCAATTTCTTTCTTTAGTGTCTTATAATTTTCTGAATTATACAGGTCTTTTACATCCTTGGTTAGGTTTATTCCTATGTATTTTATTATTTTTGAAGAAATTGTGAATGGGATTATTTTCTTAATTTCACTTTCTGTTAGTTTGTCATTGGTGTATAAAAATGCCACTGATTTCTAGATATTAATTTTGTATCCTGCTACTTTGATGAATTCATTTATCAGTTCTCATAGTTTCTTGGTGGAATCTTTGGGGTTCTCTATACACACTATCAACATATACTATACAAATATATATATATTGATATATACTATACAGGTGTACATATATAGTATATATATACACTATACAGTATACTATTCTATACACAGTATCAATGTGTACAGATGGCTATCTGCAAATAAAGACAGTTTTACATCTTTCTTTCCAATTTGGATGCCTTTTATTTCTTCTTGTCTGATTGCTGTGGCTAGGACTTTCAGCACTATGTTGAATAAAAGAAATTAAAGTGGACATCCCTGCCTTGCTCTTGATCTTAAGGGAAGACTTGTAGTTTTTGCCTGTTGAGTATGATGCTGGCAGTGTGTTTGTCACACATGGCCTTTATTATGTTTACACATGCTCCCTCTGTTCCCACTTTGCTGAGAGTTTTGGTCACAAATGAGTGCGGGATTTTATCAAAAGCTTTTTCTGCATCTATTGATATTACCAAGTGGCTTTTATCCTTTATTTTATTTATGTGGTGAATCCCATTTATTTACTTATGAATGTTGTACCAACCTTGCATTCCCAGAATAAATCCCACTTAATCATGATATGTGATCTTTTAGATGCATCACTGAATTCGGTTTGCTAATATTTTGTTGAGGATTTTTGCACCTGCGTTCCTCAGGGATATTGGCCTGTAATTTTCTTTCTTTGCAGTGACTTCACCTGGTTTGGGAATTAAAATAATGCTGGGAGCTTTCTATTCTCTTAAAATTTAAGAGGCTCCCAGCATTCCATTCTCTTAAATTTTATACAATAGTTTTAGAAAAAGAGGTTTTAGTTCTTCTCAAAATGTTTGGTAAAATTCACCTGTGAAGCCATCTGGTCCATAACTTTTATTGGTTGGGAGTTTTTTTATTACTGCTTCATTTTCATTAGGTATAATCTGTCTATTCAGATTCTCTGGTTCTCCCTGGTTTTGTTTGGAAGATTGTATGTTTCTAGGAATTTATTTATTTCATCCAGGTTGTCCAATTTGTTGGCATACAACTATTAATAATATTTTCTCACAATCCTTTGTATTTCTTTGGTGTCAGTTTTATTTCTCCCCATCCATTTCTGATTTTATTTATTTGGGTCCTTTCCCTTTTTCCTTGATCAGTGTGGTTAAAGCTTTGTCAATCTTGTTTATCTTTTCAAAGAACAAGTTCTTGGATTCATTTATCTTTTGTATAATTTTTTGAAGTCTATCTTGTTTATTTCAGCTCTGGCCTTTATTATTTCTTTCCTTCTAAGTAGTTTGGGCTTTGTTTGTTGTTTTGTTTCAAGTTCATTTAACTGTTGAAGTTAGATCACTTATTAGAG